TAAATATCAGCGGTTGAGTTCTGGCTGAGAACAACTGGGACGACCTCCCCTTAAAGGCAGAGCATAAGGAAACTCCCTGAAGTATTTCCACAAAGGCTGTTCTTCTCTTCAGAAATGCACCATCAACCAAACACCTGCATCAACAACTAAATGCAAAATAAACTGCAGATGCCAGGGAGAGTGATTAGGAGATTTTAAAGCACAGACTAGCACCAGCAAAGACAAAGAATCCAGGGTCTGTCCTAAAGGAAGGCTGACTTCCAGGCAGTGTTGCTACTGTGCAGTAACTATCAGATTTCCAGAAGGCAGCTTGCTACATAAATATTTAACTTCATCCATGAGCACCTTTACAACTGCATTTTGTTTCCCACATGTACTATAGGAGGTGATTTTCTTCCAGGGGAGATTTTGTCTTCCAGGGGGCACGTGACAGTGTTGGCGACAATTTTGGTTGTCACATTGGGAAAGGGCTGCGAGCTACCACGTCTAGTGGGCAGGGCAGGGATGCTGCTAAACATCCTACCCTGCATAGCACAACCCCCTCCCTCCCCCCTCAAAGAATTATCTAGCCCCAAATGTTGAGAGTGCTGAGGCGGAAAAACCCTGTTCTAGAGTAGTCTCTTTACTTGGACTCTAGTAGTTCCTACTGGAGTAACTTTGCTTAGGAAAAAAACCAAGACAGGCTAGAAGCGGCAGGGGAGGGGAGTGGGGTGGGGGTGGGGGCCCACTCAGCCCCTCTTGGCTGCTGTAAGGCTGGAGATTCCAAAACCTCCAGGTGACAGACAGGTCACACCAAGTGTGCTTTCCTTTCTTTCCAAGGACATGCAGATAGTGCTGACCTTGTTTGCTTTATTCTCTAGTGAATTTAACTGGCAAAAAAGTAGATGAGCTGATACTGTCTTTGTAATTATTTGAAAGGAAGGAGGAAGTATTTTTTGTGCAAACTGGCAGTCTTTCAGCTTCATGTCCTCTCTTCCATGGGTTTTTACATGTGCTCATTGGGACGCCTCAGCGTGCTTTACATAAGGCAAAAAAATTCAAATGAAGGGGTTTCCAGGCTTTCTTGCTCTGATGTCACAGTAGGCTATCCAGGTCTCTGCTCTCTGCTCAGCCTTACTTAGGCGTGAGAACAGTCGTAGGGAAGCTGCTGCCTCACCTGTCTGGTCAGCCTGGCCTCAAAGACAAGGGAGGGGAAGCTGGCTGGCCAACGCACACCAGGTGAAGTGAGCTTTTGTGAGAAATCCACAGACCTGAAAAAGGTTCCCATTTTCTCACTTGTCTTTTCTTGTCACTGAGTGGGAGAGTGCCAAGCTGAAGCCTGGATATATAGTAAACATAAATACATGTGGAGAATGGAGCATGTGAGGGCGCGTTTCTCGATACCGGTCACCAGACTGATGCCCAAAGCACCTCGTGCTTTCTGACCGAGGGGCCAGCATGGTTCCTGTGGGGGCGGGGGACGGGAGGCTTGAGACTTAGAATGATCTCAACTCTTGACTATAAAACCCACACCAGGAATTTCAAAATAAGGAAAAGCCTCTCCTTATCATCAGATTGACCATATTTCTTTCTTCTCCAAATTTCACCTCTTTTTCTACCCTCTCCAGGAAGACCACCCTGGGGGAATTCTTTGGCTTAAGTATCAGTGAAATAAAGGCCTCTCTCTCCTTGCTAGTCTCCTGTTGAGTACATACAATTCCTTTTCCTCGATCACCAGAACTCTCTTGTTCTTGTCAGGAAAACGGAATTTCTTGTCAGGAAAACGGAATTTCCTGAAGAGATTAGCCAAGGTCTTTTCCTTCCAGTTTTCTGAAAACATGCTCCATATTCTCATTTGTGATTTCTGGCATTGTTTCTTGCTTTCTACTTCCAACAGAGAGCTGAATCTCTAGTCAAGGACCTACCTCAGGAAGGTTCGCGGTCTCTGTCTGTTTAGAATGGAAGAGACTTACCTGCATTCTCATCTGCCGGGTCCTTCCTGGCTGACCAGAATCTATCAATTATTCAGAAGCAATTGAGGGAAAAGCCTTTCTCAGGAATAATAACTTTCAGTTTTTCACGTTAATTTAAGGAGGAAATAACTTTCCCCGCAGGCAAACTGCCCCTCTCTGTGTTTGCCAGCGCTATTGCACAGTCCCAAGTAAGCCTAGGGTTCTCAGACTGGCCTCATCTGTCTGTCTTGCTCCCTGCCCGGGGGGATCACTAGGTCAAAGCAGAGCCTGCATTTCTGCTGCAGAGATTCATATCTGCTTCTCTTAAGCAGATTCTGTGCCGAGAGGGATCCTTTTAGAAAAAGGAAAGCACAGGAAACTTAAAGCTAACGCTGTCTTTCAAAATATATGTTTATCTCTGTTTCTTCTTTTTTAAAAACAACTTGAATATGAAAGCAGAGCCACAATTTATGACTCTGTCCTGCTGCCGCTGTGAGGGAAGATGAATCTATCGCTGGCCTACACAGCACATTAATCTAGGAGCTCAATGCTCAATTCATGAAAATGACTCAGTTCTCAGAATGGATCCAAAAAGACTTTCCCTTTACTTATCCTCCAGGGGACTGGGGGACTGAGACAGGGAGTTTCCCCCTCTCATCCTTTCATTTCCCATGAGCTCAGCATGAGCTAAGCCAGGGTGTGTGCCTCCCCTCCTGCCCAAAGACCACTGGAACTAGGCTTCTGGATCTGCACCCCCATCTTGAGCAGGGATACTTATCATTTTATATTAACTACCTACTGACTAAATGGTGGGTCACACATGGGGCACTTTTCCACTATTCTCCCTCTCTTCTTCTAGTCTTGTCAACAACAGCCCCTGCAGGTAAACCCACTGCAGGTGCCCAGCTGGCCAGTGTGTGGTTCCTGCCCTCACATCCAGAGAAACAACCTGCTATAACCACCAATAAAGCAGCTACTGCACTCTGAACACAATCCAGGCTATAAATAAAACACGGCCATGTCCAGTAATTTCTTGAAATCATCCAGACACATCAAAATTCACAATGTCTCTCGAAATCAAATATTAAATGAAAAGAAAATGATTACTTGTCCTTGAATCCAAACACTACTTACACTTGCCCTTGGACTCTTTTTTAATATTCTAGTTCATATTTAACACAATTTTAATAGGCTTGTTCACTTCATTTTCTCGCTTGCTGAAGATTAGAAAGAAGGGTTAGATGGCTAAAGGCAGACCCAGTGAGAGCAGTGAAAAACAACAGCAGCAAGAAAGAGTGCCTCTGCCTCCCCCACACGCCCTACCTGGACACACAGCCCATCCAACGAGCACAATACAGAAGCCCTGAACAAGAACTTCAACTCAGAACTCAAAACTCAAACTGCATAGCAGTTAGGGACAGGGACATCTAATACAAAGTCGCTCCAAATGTCTCCAATACCCTTGAGGATATCACCACAGTAGAGAACAGTATGACCTTCTCAGGGATGTTAACCTGCACTCACACTTATGGACAGGAAAAACTTACACACAACGTAGTGCTGAGAAAATCAGACAAACAAAATTTTAAATAAATCCCTTGTCAACCAGAATCTACTTGATGAAACTATTCTGGAACCTAAAGGGGTAAGTTCCAATTTTCTGAGAAAATCTGTTTAGTTGGGTAGACAATTAATTCCAAGTAACATGATCCAAATAAATTGGGTAAGTGAAGCATGTCTGCAAAGAGCCTGCTTCTGAAACGCTTACAATGGAAAAGGTACACAATGAAGAGGGAAGTCGCCAGGCACTGGAGCAGGGGAAACCATGTGACTGAATTCTCCTTCCCTACCCTTTCCTTATCTGGGTGCCTCCAGAAACTCAATGCGATGACTTGCATGGATCTAAGTCAACTCGGACTAATTTGCAGCTTAGACTAACTGCACTGTCTCTAGACAGCGTAAAGGGGCTTCAGCCAACGCCCCCACTTTAGTGCTGAACATCCATAAGATAAAGCAGCCCTTCTGAAACAGCCACCTTCCTGCACTTGCCCATGTGGTTCTGACCTGGTGACAATACCATGTCTCCACCCATGTTCACAGTAAGAATCTCCAGAGGTGAGAGCTCTGGGTGAACAAATTAACTCTGATGTGTAGAATACTACCTGTGTAAGTGGGGATAATTAATACTAGTGATGGAAATAAGGTGTTCCAGATCTAGTCCATGCACCAGGAAGCAAACAGCAGCAGAGAAACCTATGGCAGTAGAGGGAGGCACTTTTAGGTATTTACAGCAGAGGAAACTCTTGGGGCAAAAGGCTCACACATTGAGAGCCAAGACCCAATAGACAGGCCTAAGAGCTCTGAGTCCCTGAGCCAGAAAATTCCCTCTTTTGAGTCAACTCCTCTAATTTCCCCCTGTTTTTTTAATTTAGACTCACAAAATCTCAGGAGTAGAAATTCTGACTCAGGCAAGGAATCAAAACATTTTTGCAATTAAGGCAATGCTTCTCAAATTCCCATGTAGATAGAGAATTTGTGCTCTTGGGTACAAGTGTAGTCTTGCTACAAGCGGAACACGTCTTTGAAGTGTCTGTGTTTTACACCTTAATTCATGAGCATTTTATCTCATAATACACCAATAAAACATCAACAATTTCCCCTTGGAATCTTCACTTCGGGAAGATGAGCTCATGTTTATCTTAGGGATCTCATACGTCAATTTGAAAAGCAGGGACCTGAAGAAACATTCACTGCTGTTAAGTGATCAGTTAATCTGATGACTCAAGAAAGCACAAGAGGAGATTCTTAGATAAGGCTTGGACATTTCTTTCTATACCCTTAATTGGTTATAAACACTAAAATAAACTGCAACAGAAAAATGTTCAAACCACTTGCTCAGAATTCTGTTCAAGAGGCTGTTTACTTTCCAAACACTGCTCCAGTGGCGATGGAAGTGAGGAGAATGAAACCAGGGACAGAAATGTAGAGGTACACTCTACCAGTTTTCAAGTTACAAGAAAAATGCATGTATTAAGACAGACAAAGAGGAAGACATAATGGAAGACTTACTTTAAAATCTGCTAGCTGTTGGTTGATGACATCCACTTCGGTCCCCACTACCCACTGGAGGGCCTCGCCCTCCTCTGCCGCTGTGGTCATGTCATTGAGTACCTTCAACTTCCTATAGAAGTCCTCCACTCGGCCCAGGGTCAGCTCAAGCTGCTCCTGGCGAGCTTTGCTCCTCTCTGTCAGTTTGCCACACTGCTTGCTCAGGGCTTCTAGCTCCCTCTTGAGACCTAGCAAGTCCAGAGTGCCCTCTTCCTCCAGCATCTGTCGGCACTCTGCTTCAGAGGCTTCTATGTCTAATTTGAGGGCTTGGATTTTGTTAAGGAACAGCCGCACGTCTTCAATTTGGGACTGGAGGCTGTCAGTGTCTCTGCCCACAGCACCCATGCCGTCGAGCTCATCGTCCAGGTCAGCCAACTGAGAAAACATCTCTCGGACTCGGCAGTGAAATTGGCCAATCCCCTCCAGCTTGTTTTCCATTGCCATGCAACTGCTGTTCACTCTTTCTTTCACTTCCAAGAACTCTTTCTGGGTGACCTCGGCTTGTTGTAAAAGTTGGGAAGCATCAGATCCATCTGGGGCATCTTCTACCAGGCCCTGGGTGAAGTTCCTCAGATAGTCTACCTGAGGTTCCAGGGCCTGCAGCACTTCCTGTTGAGCTCGAAGCTTCTCCAGGTTCTTGTTGCTGCAGGCTTGAGAACCTAGAGCATCAAAGATCTCAAGTTGGTGTTTGGCCCCTTCAACCTTTTTTTCAATATTCTTAAAGCTTTCCTGGAACTCCTTGAGCCTCTGGGTCATCTCTTCAAGGGACCCTGTTCTGGCCTGTAGCTCTTCTGTAATGGAATCCATGTTCTGGTTGATCCCAGCCTTCTCATCCCGAATATCATCCTCATCCGTTTCTGAAGAATTGATCAGAATGTCAGCAGCACTGTTCAATATTTCCAGCAGGGAACGGCGTTTTTCTACCTCGCTCAGCATAGCTTTTGACCTCAGGAGATTGGTCTCCAGCTGCACTGGATCCAGAGTGACCCGCAAGTCAGACATCTTGGCTTTGCAATCTTCTATCCATGGCACAAGGTCATCCACATGCCACTGATATTTCTGAGCTTTCTGCACACAGTCCTTTAGCCTGGATTGTCTGTCTGCAGTTTTTTTACTGAGTTCTTCCCAGTGGCTTTTGAGCTCAACCAGTTGGTTTTGCAAAGTCTTTTTCTCTTCTCCAGGAGGCACAGAAAGCAGCAGAGATTCTCCTTCAGCCACAATCACCTCGTAGGAACCACTGTGTTGGTTAAGGCTCTTCTGAAATTCTTCATTCTCCTGGAGCTGAGACTGTAGCTTCTCCAATTTTGCAGAAATTGGGCAGTTTTTTGCTTGCTGGCTTTGTTTGTCATCCAACCAGGTTCTCAGCTCATCAAACATTTGCTGGAACTGTTGCGTGCTGGCAAGAGCTGCCTGGAGTCTGTTCATGCGATCAGCTGAAATGAGAAAATCAAACTTTAATCAATCACGTTTGAACATGACATTTAAAATGTTTGCAGAACTATTTACAATAGGTAAAACCTGGTAACAACCCAAATGCCCAAAAATAGATGACTGGATCAAGAAGATGTGGCATATATACACATGGAATATTATTCAGCAATCAAAAAAGATAAACTCATGCCTTTCGCAGCAACGTGAATGGAACTAGAAGGAATTATGCTCAGTGAAATAAGCCAAAAAGAAAAATAAAAATATCGGATAGTTTCATTTATAGCAGGAACATAGGGGATCCAAATAAGACATCAATGTAAAAAAATAATAACAGTATAAAACACAACAAAGCAAAAATGGACAATTATAAATCAGAGACATACTGCAGGGGAGGAGGAGGGAGAGAGATCAGAGGGAGGGAGGGAGGAGCACAGGGGACTGAGGTGATGGTGCACAGGTGCCCTAGTGAAGGAAACTCTTTGGGGACTATATCTGAGAGGTTGGGAGAAGCAAGTATTGTTTAAAAATAAAAAATGATGTAAAAAATAAAAAAAAATTTTTAAAAAGTTTGCTGAGAGCAGATGGGTCTAATCTTAGGGGAAGGAAACTAATGTTAACTGATGGCCTACCATAAAAGACGCACACAGCTAGGTTCCTTCAAATATTGTATCTTATTTAATCCTCACATCAATCTTGTAAGGTGATTAAGTTGGTAAAAAGCCATAAACGCTACAGAGGCATTGAATTAATGACAAAATTTTTCTTGCACAAGGCCATCATAGGAAGTTTAGAACATGTTCTAATTTTGCATTTTTGGTGAGTAGCAGTGGAGGAACATGTGTAACTCCAGCTACAACTATGAGCATAAATCTCTCCCTGCTGGTTGAATGTATATTAGAGCTTTAATCTCTACGATGATGTTATGTAAAGCGGCACATATCGCTAAAACCCAATCAATGTGCAATGACCATGACAGTTCTCACAGAAGTTAGACGAAGGGATGGGGTATTGCTCTTCTGAGTCCAAAAACTACATGAGGGTCACCCTAGATTCTTGGGACTACCACTAATTTATTTCTTTTGACTTGCTACTAATATTGGCAACAGTGTAGACCTCATGTTAACTCACCTGCAAGGTCTTCTAAACCTTGGAGAGGTACAGCCACTGTCTCCAAACGTTTCTTCAGCTCATCCTTGAGGTACTGCTCACCAATGAGCACTGAGAGCTCGTCACAGAGCGTCTGTGCCTCCTTAATCTCATGGTCTAATTGCTCCAAATCAGACCGAATCTCACTGGTCTCCTCCAGTTGCTGCTTTACAGCCTCAGGTTGGGTGCTGATGGCCGACTGGCCACTCAGTCGCTGTCCAACAGCCTTCACCTTCTCTGATAAGTCCTGAAGCAGTTCTTGGTACTGGGTGCTTTTGACAATGGCTTGGTCAATTTGGCTGGAACGGGAGTTGAGTTTGTCAGTCAGCTCAACCCACTTCTGATTGATGCTCTGGAGTTCTTTCTGTACTTGGCTGGTGGATGGAGAGACGTCTCCAGGGCCTGTTAGGATGCCCTGAGCTGCCTCATTCAGCTGCTCATGCTGTTGCTTGCGTGCTTCAAATTCCTTCAGCATAAACTGTCATAGAAATAACACCAAGATGTTTAGAGAGAAAAGACAGATCTAAAACAATGTCAAAACAAAAACTGATTTTGGATCATGCTAAGTCATGTCTCTCCCTTTAGACAATCAACTAGAAAACTCGAAGGACCAGACTTAGGAAAAAATAGTATCTCTTAAAGCAAGTACTTAATAAAAACTTGTTTTGAAAGGACATTGATTAGGTCTTTTTTATATACTTTCCTATTTCAACATCAGCGACTAAGGTCGGCCTTGGCTGGGAAACCAGTTTGTTTTCTGACTGCACTAATCAGCTTTGCCAGGCAAAACCCAGGCCTCTTAATTGGGAATTCGGGGCATTGGGTTGCAGAATCAGCTGGGCTTACCATTCGAACTCTGAAAACCTGTTTTTCTTAGTTTTTCCCTCAAAATTCCAACAGCACTTACAATCTATACATTACAATATAGCATAATTAAGTAGCAAACTATATTGTAGCATGTCTTTTAAAAATTATTTTCTCTCTACTGCTTTGGTCACCAAAAAAGTTAGGATTACAGTTAGGATTACAGATGATAAATTCTGCAGAGGCTGGACAACAGCAGGAGAGGGAAGTCAGGAAAAGCTTCACAGATGACACAGTAAAGAACACAGAGGGGTTGCTGAAGTGATGAAGGGCTTCAGACGGAGGGCACAGGATTAGCAGAGCCACAGAGTCATATGAGCATGGCTTGTTCCATAAAAACAAGTTATCTAATGTGGGTAGAAACCTCAGTCTATGGGGGAAGCACTGGGAAGACAAACCGGCGAGACAAACAGGGACCAGATTGTGAAAAGTCACACATACCACACTGAGTAAGTATCTGGATTTTGTTCAATAGGCAGCCAAGAGCTACTGAAGCATTTTCACGTATTCTGGTAAATGCTTTAAGGAGATTAATTTGATAACTGTGTGGCTGATAGGCCAGACAAGGAAGCCCAGTAGCAGGTGTTTGCAATGTTATAGGCTTGAGCTCAAGCATCAGGAAGGTGGTACTATTTTTTTTTTTTTAAAGATTTATTTATTTTATACAAGAACTGGGGTACAGGCCAGATGCACTGGAGGGTGAGAGGATTCACCAGAGACAGAACGGGGAACAGAACAGGCAGACTGACAAAATACACTGCTGAGGGGAGCAGCGGGCAAGACAGGAGAGGTCTGCCACACCATGTGGGACCCTTGCTGGCCGGCCGGGATCGAACCGGCGCTGCAGGCTGCGGACATCTTCACAGCGCAGCGCTCAACTGCCTGCACCACCAGGGGAGGCCCGGTGGTAGTATTTAGAATGGAGAAGAGAGACTAGAACAGGAGTTCTTAAAACACCCCCTGGGAGTCCCGAGGCCCGGTCAGGGTATCCATGAGATCAAAACTATTTTCATCATACTAAGATGCTATTTGCCTTTTTAAGTTCTTACTTTCTCATGAATGTTCAATAAGGCTATATAGGACATCTGATACCACATCAGACTGAATAAGAAGCAGATGTGAAAATCTATGAGAATATTTTATTAAGCCAGGCATTAAAGAGACTTGCAAAGATGTAAAGCAATGCCATTTAATGTTATATTAAATATTTTATGTTTTGGAAAATGTTATTTTTCCATAGAAATACATTACTTGTGTTAATGTTATGGTATTTACAATATTATTTTATTTTATTTTATTTTTTAAAGATTTATTTATTTATACAAGCACAGACCAGAGACGCGTGAGGGTGAGAGAATTCACCAGAGACAGAGCAGGGAGCAGAACAGGCAGAAGGACCGAAAAACACTGCTGAGGGGAGCAGCAGGCGGGACAGGAGAGGTCTGCCACACCATGTGGGAATCTCCCTGGCCAGCCGGGATTCGAACTGGCGCTGCATAGGCTGCAGACAGCTTCACAGTGCTGCGCTCAACCCACTGCAACACTGGCGAGGCCCTACAATATTACTTTAAATTAATTAATAAATACAGATTTTTAAAAATTCCTCAGTGAACCAATAAGGTAAATATCAATAAATGTCAATGGAGAAACACAAACTCTTTGGGGCCCTCAGTAATTTTTTAAAAGTATAAAAGGGTTTTAAGACCAAAAAGTCTGAAAACTGGAATCAAAAAATATTTGTAAATAGACTAAATAAGACTGGATGATTAATTAGAAAAAGGGGATTAAGAAGAGAAAGGGTTCCTTCAAAAACTCTAAGGTCTAATTTAAGGAACTTAGTTATGGTGAGAAGAAATGGAACAAGGTTGGTTGAAAATGTAAAGAAAGTTCTATGTAGATTTTCACTGGAAATGAAAATTTGACCAACCTCAATTTCTATGATATTAGGCACTTAAATAATCTTTTTGAGGTTTCATCAGCAGAAAAACTTACATAAAGCCAGCAAATAAAAGATATTTCATTAAATAAGGTGGATCTTTACCAGTGGGTACTAAAAGTAAAATGTGACACTTGAAGGGGGAGATGCTAAACCTCTAAAACACGAAAAATACTCTGTTTTTTGCACAGAAGAACTGGAGCACAGGGCCATGGAGGGTAGTGAGAGGATTCACCAAAAAAAGAGTGGGGCGCAGAACAGGCAGATTTACTGACAGGAGAGGTCTGCTGCCTGTGAATTAGCTCCCTGGCTGGGATTGAACTCAGGCCATATCAGTGATAGTGCTGAGACTCAACCCCTAGGCCACCAGGGAGGCCCACAAACAATATTCTAAACCAACGTTACCTCAATAAAAAGAAAATGTAAGATGTGACTCTATAATCTAGTCAGAAGTTTTCCCATTCTCATATCCACTCATCTTATTGCCTCTATTCGTGATGTCGATGATAGCAATCATCTGTTTACCGTCTGATAGGCACTGTGACAAAGCGCTTACAAATATCTCGTTTAAACTGAGGAAACGGAGACTCTAAGAGGGTAAATGACTCATCCAGGGTCATATGGAATGTACTTGCTGAGAGCAACATTCAAACCAGGCTCATGTAAGCACAATTTCTTAGCTCTAACCCATCAAGCACACCCGCTCACCTGGACCTGCTGCTTTTGTGCATTCAGCATGTTGGGGTCGATGGACAGGGGCCCCAGCACTCCCATCATCAGTTCCTTCTCCATCAGCCAGGGCCGGAGCTGGGATTCTGCAGCCTGGAAGCAGGCCAGATGACTCGCAGATTCCTCCAGCTGCCTTTGTCGAGCCATAGTCACCTCGGTGGCCCTTTCCCATCGGGAATCTGTAGAGAGGAAATGAGAGAATGTACCCTTTATTCTCATCAGGCCCTGGCCCGGTCCCTAAATTATGTTCCTAATAAACTACAGGAAATGACCCCTGGAGGATTAGTTAAAGTTTTCCTAAGTTAAAAATAACCTTGATTTAATTTTAACTAAAACAACACAGTTCTGTCTCTTGACTGAGGTGGTAGTTATATGAAACTACACATGCGGTAAAATTGTATAGAACTACATACACACACGCATACACGAGTGCATGGAAGATATCTGACACTTATTTCATCGCCTCTTTCTAAACTTACTGTATTATGAACATCTTTTATGCCAATAAGTTTTTTTTTCATTGTCAATATTCACCCATATCATTTTTCATCGCTATTTATATTACGAATCTTTAGGTTATTTTTGCCACTTTTTCATTTTTGTCAGTAAAATGCTCTTTTTATCACAGTAGATTGTCAGTTTGACTTGCCCAAGAAAGTCAAGCTTCAGACACTTTGAATGGAGTCTCTAATTTTTTTCCTCAATCAGTCTTACTTTCTAGTTCTATGTAGGTCTCTTGCTTACTTGTGAAAATTAACTAAAAATAATTCCAACTTTATAGGATGTGCTGAGATTCTGTATGTGCAATTTAGTGAATTTGCAGCATCCTTGTGATGACTTACTGAGCTCTTCTTGCATTTTCTTCCAGTTTTCTGCTTCTTGAGAGTTGGGATATATCATCAGTAATCCAGCAAGGGCTTCCTTTACTTTTTGGATGTTTGGAGAATTCTGTTCCAATTCAGCCAGGAAGGCCTAGGATAAAGAACATCACATATGTTGTGAGATTTTCAGAGAGGGAAACAAAAATGTGTGTGCGTGGAAGAAATGACTGGACAATTGGGCAGCAATATAGGCTCTATTTCTGATTCCATCTAGGACTTGTTTTGTGATTTTAAGATGTTTAACCTTATTGCCTCAATTTTTACTTTAAATAGAAAATTTCTTTTCTTTTTTTTTTTAAAGATTTATTTATTTATACCAGCACAGGGGTACAGGCCAGAGGCGTGGGAGGGTGAGAGAATTCACCAGATAGAACAGGGAGCAGAACAGGCAGATAGATTGAAGACACTGCTGAAGGGAGCAGCGGGAGCGACAGGAGAGGTCTGCTCAACCTGCTGCGCCACTGGGGAGGCCCTTAAATGGAAAATTTCAACAGTAGAATCTAAATTTCTTTTATCTGGACCACATCAGCAGAGGCTTATAGGAAACATTAATCCAGTGTCAAGATATGATAACAATGATGGTGATGTTTATGCAGTTGGAGGAGATATTCCAATATGCCCAATTAGAATATAAAAACTTTTGGTGAAAAAAATTTTTATAGGACTTTCTATATGGTTTTATATCCTCTGCTATTTTCCAAGTTTTATATGTCAATCTTAAGAATCAACTGTAATCACTCCATTTGGGCCCCTCCAAGAGCTGGAAAAGTGCTTTGATGACTATAGATTGGCTTATAGCATCAGATAGAAAACAAGATCACATTCTCCGGGAGATGATGCTTTGGTGGAAGGCTATTTGTTCTATAAATAGAATCTGACATCATGATTTCTAATTTCATAGGGAAAACAATTCTCTAGAGAGTGTAGGCCTATCAATCACTTGAAAGTCCAACATGCTGCTTGTAAGAGCCTGGGTGGTGAGACACATCTCACTCTTGAGTCCCTCTGCTCAGGCAGAACACTCCAACTACGGTCTCCTCCTTTTAGTGTTTGGGATGCACCTAATATAAACACAGTACCTTGTTAGATTCGGCTTGGGCTTTCACCGTTTCTGTCTTAGTTGGAGATGACGGAGCATCCATGGCTTTCAGAACTTCCTCTTTCGATTTCAGCCACTGCAGCATTGCACTTGCCTCCTTCTGAACTTCTTGCGTTCTGCCGAGGATAGCCTGAAGGCTTTCCTGGCGTTCCCGAAGCACTCCCCCCAGTTTCTCATATTTCAAGTTTACATCTGACATGTCACACTGGATCTCCGTCAGATCTAGTATCACACAAACAGAAATCAGATTGGGACTAACTCTCAAAGCATTCCCAATGGGTCCCTTTACTAAACTGCTCATCAGGATTAAGTGTCTCTTATACTCCTAGTGAACTAGAGGTTGCCTTCCTGCTAAATCAATAAAGTTCATTTACATATACAAAGCAAAAAAGGTCTTATTAATCTGCTTTCTGATTTGGCATTATATACTCAAATGTAGGAGTAAAGTAAATAAGCCATATGGGAACAGCAAAAGTGAAGAGGGTGAGGATTTGGGCATTCTTCTGCTCTATCTTTCCAAACTACAGGGAAGTCACCTAGCTAGGAGGTCAGAGATTAGATTAAACTACTTCTAGTAGAGCTTCTTTAAATTTAAAGACCTACATGAATTTTCTTTAAGGTCTTTCCTTAGTGGTCTTATCTCTCAGTGCAGTTTACCTCTTACTACCTTTATCTTACTAGCTGTCAACTTATTTAGCCTACAGTTAGCAAACAGAGGCATCACAGTTGCTTTTCCCCAGATTTTTCACAGTTGCTTCTCCCCAGTTGCTTCACCCTCACACCCATGCTGGCAGTTCTTCCACACACATGAAAACATACACAGAGGCAAACATGAATGCTGTCCTACCACACCCAACAAAGAGGCACTGTTGAAATGGCATCTCACCTTTGCAGGTGTGGTATCCGTTTACACTGCCTACAGAGCTTCCTACAGAGGGCAGTATGGAACCTGAGCAGAAGGACAGGGAGACAAACAGGGCAAGACAAACGTGTTAGGAGTACATACAGGCACCGAATTTGTTCCCTGGCACTCACTTTAAGCTCAGGTATTAGGAAGATCACACAGCACAAGACAACATACTCATGGAAAGAGACAAATCATTTTAAATGGCAGGTTTACAAAATATCACTTGAGGTGTTTCAACTCCTTAGCAGTAATGACTCTTCATCCTTTCTAGAAGAATTAAGTCCAAGTTCCCTTCTTAAATCACCAACTTAATTTCTTGGACCATGCCCTAATTTTGTGAAGTAAGTATTGGTAAAATGATTAAGTCGTTAGAATGGTTATCTGCCACACTTAGGAGAGCGGATTTGTAAGGCAAATTGAAGATTTATAATAAAGCAAAAAAGTTCAGCTTTTAAGATCATATTATTAACATAATAAAAATGAACAGTAAAAACCATTAAGGACATATAAAGCAGCATTATTTTAATAAAGACATTAAAACAAGCCCTTCTTGCATTGTTTCAAAGGTTTCGCCACTTTCTGCACCCCTTCCCCCATCAGAAAACAGAAATTATAAGTACCAAGAAATCTGGCTCGTAAACATTCCCATGAATTATGCCTTAGTACCGGTTCTATTTCTAATCATCAAATTTCCACCTATATTTTCCCCAAATTTATTCCTTGTATTTCAGGAGAGTCCCAAGTAAAAAACAAATCATATAATTATAACAATTACACAGAACTGTAAAGATTATTCATGATATGTTCTATAGTAAAAGCATTAAAAAGTACAGAATAGATCTCGCATGTGCACTGATTACACTGTGGGAAAAGTCATGTGCAAGGTTATATTAAAAAACAGTAATTGTATAATGGGTCAGACAGAAAGCTCATATTCCACTGCAATGTGGTAATGGCCCCAAAGAAACTGGACTAGTAGTTAGGAGAAGGTCCTATCCAAGACTATCACTAACTAGGTATGGGAGCCTTAACCTACAATAGACCTGAGTCACCTTTTCTAGGATCTCAAGGTAATACTATCCTGTCAACTCTCATGGGGCTACCAGAAAGAAGTAATAGTGTAATATAAGTGAAAGCACTTTATGAAACAAAAAGCTACACAAATGTAAGGAAACAGAACATTCACAATTTTTCAGAGTTGGCAGAGAACTTTGAGAGCTAGTGATTTTCAGCCTACTGATTTTCAAAGAGCCCTAAGGAGGTAATGTAGGGACTCTATAAATGCTTGGCTGAAATTTAATATTCAGAATATATTTCTAATTACTTAGACATGGCAATAAAATATGCACATTCAGTTATGTTAAACACCACATTTTAACCCACTAGATAAAACCAACGTATGTCACTTTCTTTGGGAGAATAAAGCCGCTCCTGCATCTCTGTGCACATGTTTAACTTCTTTTTGAGGTCACTGATTGGAAAAGTTGTAGCTCTTCACTAGCATTTACAACATTACAAACATTTGTCATCATTTGCAGCTAGTTATCTGTGTGTGTATTTTCTGGATACAATGCAATTGAATGAAATTGAGAAACAAATCAGATGAAACTGTTATCAAAAAATCCTCTTTTTCAAATTTTTATATTGACTTAAATAATCTCAATAGTCTCACTGGCAGATTTTGTTATAGATAAATGCTATGAGTTGACATATAAGAGAAATTTATGCCAACAAAATATTATTTTGTTTTCTGTAATAGAGTTCTATATGAGATTTGTTTTGTAAAAGTTTACAAAAAACATTGATCTAGTCGAGGAGTCAGAAAACAAGTCCATCAGTAAATCTGGCCCTCTTGCTTGCTTCTGTGCATAAAGTTTTATTGGAACACAGCCACATTCCTACATTTATATATCATCCATGACTGCTTTGAGCTACAAAGACAGTAATGTGTACTGTGATAGAGACCATATGGCCTACAAGTCTACAATATTTATTATATAATACTGTGTTGAAAAGGTTTGCCAACTCCTGATGTATTCACTGAACTTAAAAGGTCTAAGTACTGGAATATAAGAATAGCCAATCCCTGAAATGTTGTCAATCCTGGGTAGTTCCAAGAGATCTCTAAATTTCAGGATGCAACAGAAAAGGAGCCATTCTCAGGAGGAAAAAAAGAAAGCAAACCTTTTCCTTATTATTTCAGTGACTACAGGAATTCACATAATCTGGTTATAAAACCTATGAGATCCCAGCTAACAACCAGAAAGTGCCATGAACTCATAATGGATTTTGTTTGAAGGACTTAATTTGTAGTCAGAGACTTCATAGATCTGTGCACTAATCTTCGTAGCCACTTCCATGAGGTGTGCCAGTGTTCCCTGGTGTATCAATACTGACCCCTAAATACCTGGCCTCGCGTAAGACATCATGCTTAAACTTTCCAGGGCTGATCCCAATTTAAAGGTGACACATAGCCATCCCAGTTACATGTTCAAAAGAGAGAAATTTCACAGGATGTTTAGTTCTAAGTGGGCCAATTAGTCCCTCTATTTTTCCCTGTTATGGGAAGGAAGTTTGCAAAACGGAGCAATGTGATATAGCAAATGGGAGAACAAATCAGGCTGATGGGGAGGACTGCTTTGTGGAACTCTTTTGTTCTCATATCCAATCTTGATTTTGACTTTTGTTAAGTAAGGGGTGACCAACAAAGGCAAAGCAAAGAATGAAATACATCAACCACATTTTTAAGAACTTGCACTTACCTGTCTTAGCTTGGGAATCAGGTGCTGTGATCTCCATGATGAGATTTTCTAAAGACGTGCCTTTGCAATTGATTTCTTCCACCAAAGTTCCCTTACTTGCCCAATCATCTAGAAGACCCTGATTTAAGAACAAAATAGCTAAATGTAACAAATGGGGGATTCCATCTTCTAAGTAGGGACACTTGTCATCTATATACATGCCCTGAAGTTCTGGTAAGCATTAAGTGAATATTCTCATATATTCAGTCATATCAAGATCTTAGTTTAGCCAGACAAGGTGTGAGAGAATGATATCTTGACATATTCAGGGCCTTCTCATTCATTCAGTCATTCATCAAATATTTACTGATCTTTTACCAGGCATCATGCCAAACACAGAAGATATAAAAGAGGATTATGATACAGTTCTTAAAACCAAGAGCTCAGATTATAAATTACATTGTAATGTGACAAGTGCTAGTACAGAATATGGACAGTCAACAAATTCTGAGAAACCAAGAAGAGACATATCTCACTCTGCTTAGAGGAAGGAAAGGCTTTATGATAAGAGTTTACCAGTAGATGGACAAAGAGAAAACATGTAAAGAACAAAATGGAAGTGGTAACTGGAGGGTACAATGTGGGGCTAGATGCTGAGGTACAGAGAAATACACAGAATTTGATAGACTATGCTTCAAATTTTCAGGGGAACTTTACACGGTTTTCGAAGGCAGAGCTCCAACTATCCGAGAAAGCCGTCAGGAAGTAATGGCCTCTGCTCTAAGACAAATCTTCAGGTCTTAGATGTGGATTGCCAGCCACAGAAGCAGGACTTGACTCCTGTCAAAGCAGGGACACCGCTTTGGCCTACAATCTTCCCCACATTGAAATTTCCTGAGAATCTCAGTTTACTTTTGACTTCAAGTTGCAGAGCAGTGGCAGAGGAAGACAGAGCCATGAACATCCAGCATGCCCATGCTGCCTACCTTCAACTGAACCTTGTCAATTATTTTATTAGTCATTTGAGTCCAGAGGGCCACAGTTCCCACACCATGCATTGATGCCTAGGACATTTTAAATTTCTGAAAGGAAGACAGTGCCATCTGTTGGATAGCATGTGAACAACTACTAGTAAGTTGCTTCCACCTGATCCCTTAGCAAGTAAGAGTTGTTTTTAGGTTTTTGGTCTTAACATATCATGGAAGATTTCTTGAAACACTAAGGGCACTATGAACCAAGAAACTGGAGAACATCTTCCCACTGCAAATGCTTCTGGCCCTCTCTCTGGGAAAGCAAACAATACCTTTTCTTCCACCTGCTCAAGATAAATCCTATTTTATTAAGAAAATAAAGATGAAGGTATATGAGTTAATTAGAGGCAGACTTGACTACTTTCAGCAAAAAGAAGAGATGTGTTAGAGTTGCATGCAGAGGCTGCTCACCTACAAATCAGGGGGTGGGGGAAAAACTGGTTCCTCCAACCATCTGATTTTAACTTTATTAGTTGTAGAGCTAGTTTTTCCCTCCTCAATATCCTGATCACACGTCTCATTACATCTCAGGCAAAACTGCCTAATTCTAAACCCTCAACGTCAGTGTAAGCTTCTCAAGACTAGACTTAACTGTCTTTGATATGACCCACCATAGTAAGAAAGTCAGCCAAGAAACAGCTGAAATTTGCTATGATTCCCAGACAATTTTTTCCATTTTAGTTTTTAAATAGAAGATGTTTTGGTGTTCGGTGCTCAGGAAGAGGTATGGGGACCACATGAAGATCATGGAGGGATTTCTGATGTAGACGGATAACTTGGATTTCTCACACCACTTCCCTACCACAGCAGGAGAGCAGCCCATATTCTCTTCCACATTGCTGCCCAGTCTGAGACTCCTGGGGGATCCCTTTGTTCACACACCTTTAGGTATTCAATCTGCTTTTCCAGTTCTTTAGTACTCATGAAAGTCTCTGTAGGTGGAATGTTTCCTTCAGTTTCCTTCAGCCATTTCTGGAAGGTCCTAACCAGCTTCCGAAATTCATCCAATTGTTGCTGGCAAGATGATGCATCTTCCTCTCTGTCAATGAAGACACTTTGTTAGTAGCCAGACTAAGCTTTGCAAAGAGTTAACTTGAACTAAAACTAGGTTCATTCTGGGACTGTAGGCATCAGTTTCCTAGCAGGGCCTCTCTTTCTCATAATCTTTTCCACAGCAGTTTTGGCTAAAAAAACCACATATAAAGTTGGAGAACATCAAACTAAGGCATCTATTGCCTTGTTTGGACATTTCTGGGGAAAAGAGTCTTCAATCTTATTGTAGGCTAAACTGAAAGCGAGAAAAACTACAGGGAGCCTGCTATTTAGGTACTATGATATAATGGAAAGAATGCAGGCTTTGGAGCTCTTGTCTAGTTCTGCTACTTTTTAGGTATTTGACTCTTTCAAGACCTAATTCAAACATTAATTTCTATAGCAAGAAAGATGCTGAAAATGAGATTCAGAGAAGTAAACTAATGAATAAATCAGAGAGGAAGGAAAATTTTGGAATTCAGTTTTAGAAATGGCCACATCAATAAGACCTCAAGCCAGAGATCCTGGTTCCTCATTGGGGTTAAGGGGCTACTCTCAGCACAGGGAAAACAAGGTCGTCTTGGTTTTTCTCTCCCTCATCTCTACTAAATAATCTGCTGCTTATTGTGCTAGTTTGTGTAACTGCTTTCTTCTAGTCACTGAGGTGGTGATCAGCTAATTCAAGATTGTTACTTATGGAAAAACCAAGAGAAGTCCTATTGACTTCTTAAGCCATAAGGCTTTCTAGTGGGGGAGTCATGGCTTTTCAACAGTGAAGTGATAACCTAAAATCAGCAACCTTTGTTATATATTCTCATGTTTGCCTTGAAAGAATCCAGACACTCTTCCAAAATAGCAATTTAAATGTGGTCAAAGCAGGCAGGGCGTGTGTCAACACAACCCTTAATTATGTCTGGGAAGACTCCTCTAATTTTCCCTCTTTATTTCAAATCTTGCCACAATCCAACTTGCTACTCCAAATTTGTCCTGTTTGGTCCAGGTGATCTAGGCCTATGATTGCATAGAGAAGAAAATGAATTTGATTATTGAGAAAGAAAGCACTATTCAGAAACAGAAAAACCACTGGGTGGTTTTGTTTGAAAAACCAAGTGGGTAGATTTGTTTGAAAAAACAGGCACTTCCAATGATTTAGTAGCAGAGTTCTTGATGTCATTTTTCTGATAAAGTTGGAAGAAGGAAGAGAAAATCATTTCACTGAACAGCAAGAAAAAATTAGCTCCTGGACACGGAACAACACATGTGAAAACTAACCTTTCTTTAACTGTCTTTTGCAGCTCTGTGAAGTCCTTCTTGAGGTTTTGGACCCTGTCCTGATGCTGGGACAGGTCCAGAGCAAATCCACAGGAGCTCAGTTCAGTGACCAGGTGCTCAAGAGTAGAAAGGTTCTCCTGTTGGTCTTGCATTTCCAAATTGAGCTCCTGTCAAGCAACCAAGGAAAAGCATTCAACTCTCTTATCTTCACATTCTTAAAAAGGAAATGTATCTACATTTCTCCCTAATTCACAGAAAAAGAGGGAACAAAAAAGAGGCATGTGCACCAGGTCGACTGCTAGAATCAAAACAATAAATATGCAGGTTTCTCTAGCCCACCTGAGAGTGGCTAGGAATTGCAAAGGAGTCTCATCTTCTTTAAACAAATGTTTGAAGATTTGGGAAGCAGTGTGATGGAATGAAATCAATGGAGTTATCTGGCATCAAAAAGTTCTGAAATTTAGTCATGGCCTTGCCACTGATTAGCTTGTGATCTTATGTTATTAAACTTTTATAAGCTTCCATTGTCTGCCTATTCTGTAAAACATGGCAAACACACTGTCCACTATTATTTACCACTGTATTGAAGATAATAGGCAATGCAATTAGGGAAGAAAAAATAATATGTGACATAAAAATTGGAAAAGATGTAAAACTGTATTTATTATGTGAACATATATTTGTAAAACTTATGGAAGTTAAAAATACAACTAAATCAAATAATGAAGTAATTCAATAAGGTAGCAGGATATAAAACCACATAAGAAAATCAAGAGTGAAAATTTCATTTATAATAGCAACACAAAAAGTTTAATTTTAGAAATCAACTAACAAGAAATGTACAAAATTTTTAGTAATAAAATTTTAAAATACTGACAGAGGTTAACCTGAAAAGGTAGAAAAATATCCCTAAAGATATGTGTGCATATGTATGTATATATGCAGTGTGAATAAGAACATTTCACGTGACTCAAAAATACCAATATTTTGTCCCTAGAACTAGTAAAGTTAATTTTAAAGTTCACATGGAAAAATAAATGTGCTATTATAGCTATGAAAAAGCCTAAATGAAGGAAAAGGGAAACTAGCCCTATCAAGGAGAAAAACATATCATCAACCCTCTAGAATTAAAAAAAGAATGCTATGGTACATGAATACAGAGAGCAATGTAACAGCACAGAAAACCCAGAAATTGACTGAGCAACTGTGGATGTGCTGTGTATGACAGAGGTGGCTTTTCAAATCATGCAGAAAAGACAGACTTCTTAGATAAATGAAAAGCCACTAGATAGACCGTTGGAAAAAGATGAACTTGGATCTATGCCTCATATCATACCTCAGAATAAGCTTAAATTATTAAAAGGTTCAAATGTGAAAAAAAAGAATGAAATCATTTAAGTTTTAGAACCATGGGTGAATTCTTTCAAAACTTGTGACTAACAATTAGACTTTCAAACTATGACTGAAAATTCACCTTCATTAAAAGCGATAAAATTCACTTTGTGAAATTGAAAAAAAGTTTTACATGGCCAAAACAGCATAAGAAAAGTCACGATAAACTGTGAGAAAATATCTCCAACATCTCACACATCAAGAACGAATCCCCCAATATAGAAGATATATTGTATATACATGTACATATGCATGTATATATATAGCTTTTGCAGGTAAAATTTTTCACCAAATATGTCTAGCTCTACACTTAACAGGTACATGATGGAATTACATTTCTTCACCCCCTGAAAAGCCAGGTATGGTTCCATGAAACTTGCTGTGACTAATGAGGCGTACATGGATATGCTACACCCTCTTCCTGTCCCAGCAACGAGTGTACATCCGGACCAGGTTTCCTCAACTTGAATCCCTGAGTGTCCATGATAAGCTAAGTACTGCTGATCTGGGCTTAACACATTAGTATGGGTGAAAATAAGTCCAGGCTGTGTTTTAAACAGTGGATAACTAACAACTAGTTTAAAGGATGGCTATGATACTTCTTTAAGATAATGTAGGTAATGTTTCCAGCACACTGACTGGTATATTTTGTGCTCAATAAATATGGGTCCTCTCCCTGCCCTTCTTTTCCATTTGTCCTGTTAATTTGGCAGATATATTCTCACCTGGATCTGTTGGGAGAAATGTGCAATATCTTGATCTGGCTGATTTCCAGAGGCTAGCATCCGGCTTTTGTTTTCCATGAACTGCCGAAGCTTATCAGAGAGGTGCTCAAACATCTCTGCCTGGGGCAGAAGCTTCTTCAGGGAGCTCTCTTTCTCTTGCTGCTGTAGACAGAGCTGCTCGAAGCGCTGGCTCACCTCTGCCAGCTTGCCCTGCAGCACTGCGGCCGTGTTGCTGTCTGCTGTCTCCATGAACCGGGTCACCATCTCACGGGTGGCTTCTAAGCTGCTTCTTTGCCTGGCAATGTCCTGCTTCAGTTTCTGTCATCAAGAACATGTCTGTCAGCTCGTGGCTCGCTTATTTCAGAACACTAACCTCCTAATAACTATGTGCTAGCCTCCTCAAGAGGGAGGCTGGAGGGCTGCAAGTGAGCCTTCAGATTTCCATACATCTCAGTCCCTTAGTTCTCTGCCTCATGCTACCAAGTGACTTTACTATTGCCACTTTACCTCAAGCTGAACAATGGTTTGGAAATTAGACTGAAATATTTTTAATGGGGTAGGATTTATCTCTAAAACTTATTAGAAGATTCATGGAATTCTTCTCTGGAAACTTTTCCAAAGTGATGCAATTATAGAAAATGGCGGACACGCCCTCTGTGCTAGCTCATGGGGCATGGGTCTCACCATGTTGGTGGCCAAGGCTTCTTGGATGACTCCCGATGACAGTGATGCCACTTGCTCCTCTTCCAGGTTTTTTTCAACTTCCCCGATAGACTGCAATAAGCTCTCGAGGCTTTCTTGGACACTCTGAGACTGGGCAATTGCCTTCTGCAGCAGAGCAGAGCGCTCAGCTAGGCTACTGGACAGGCTCTGGAAATGGCTGAGTATTGAATCTGGAAAATCAATGTCATGAGAGAGAGAGAGGGGTGTATTTTTGTGTTGTGCTTTTAGAAGGACTGTAGTTAAATATATAACAACAGACATCAAGACAAGTGGAAAGAATAAGCTTAAAGTACATTAGTATTTGAGCCAAATAAAATAAGTGTTAATTATTTAGCACCCACTAAAAGTGGGTGGGCCACAAATTTTACTTGATGATGAGGACTAAATATAATTAAGTCCCTGCCTTCTACAAACTTATGTCTCTTAGAGAGAGCATAGGCAGAGGGAGGCCCATCACATCTATAAAAATCACAAATGCTGCACTGGCCTAGATACTAGGAGCAGTGCACTAGAGAAGTCCAAAGGAGGGATGATTATTTCTTATCTTATATTTCTTTTGGGGTTGGGGATAGTGGTCAGGACTTTAGAAAGAAAGTAATCACTTGGTTACACCTTGAGCAAGATGCCATTATTCATGGTGGAATAAACTTATTTAACGTTAGCAGCTAAACAACAGGGAAAATGCAGGAGTAAAGGAAGGAAGGAGTAACTAGCTCACTGGGAAAGGAAAGCAGGGTGTGGCTAAGAGGCAGAATGCCTGGGGAAGAGGGGTTGAAGCTGGATCGCAGAAGCCCTTCAGTGGTGCAAGAATAAAGTTCCTAGTGCGCCATCCGTGCTGATATCTGCAGTCCCTAGCTAGAGCCACAGACACTTCTGCAACACCGAGTGATGTATAGGACAGAGGGACATACTAGGAATTAAGGAGGCACTCTTGCTATTGCTGCTTTATACCTGTAGTTTCTTGAACATGCTTGTGGTCTGGGGCTGGCTCCCCTTCAATTTCCATGAGGTCACGAGCTACTTTTTGGAGTTTTTCTACAGGCACTTGATGTTCAGCCAATTCTTCCTGCAACTGCTGCTTGTCCATAACAAAGGACAAAAGGAAAACACCTGAGTTGAGTCATCAAAGCTGGTTCTGGGAATCTAGAATCTAGGAATCATCTTTATGCAATAATTCTCAGTTTATGCACAGCCACAAATATTAGAATAAAGTATTTAGGAGTCAGATCTTGTCCAAGGCCTCCCAACCACTGACTTTCATCTATGCAAGTATTTGCTTCAGGTGGGCACTCTAAGCCCAGCAAGACAGTAGCCTGTGTCCTGCCTTACCTTGGTTGTTGCAAGCTGCTTTTGTAGGACCGTAGGATCAGAAGAAACAGTGTCTGAGAGGAGCCTCTCCACATTGGCCTCACAAGCCTGCATCCAGGCCTGCAGGCTGTCAGCGCTGTTCTGGAACTGCTGATAATGGCCTAGTAGCATGTTCAGGTGAGAGCCCAATCGGGTACACTGTGCCCGAGAAAGAAGGGAAAGTGGGCTTAAACAAGGCCAGGCCAAAGGCAGAAGAAATCTCTTAAGCTTAGGCCACAGACAGGCCTAGCTTTGTTACAGGTAGGGCTGGGGGCTACCCACAGATAGGTAGAAACATTTTTTTACTAGTGGGATCATCTCTGTCTGATCTATACTTCTGGGCCCAACATTACTACCTACCTGGGAAGATTTAGTGATTTGTATGACAAGCCACCAAAGAACTATACATCAGGTTGCAGGTAGAGGAAGGGTCTTTATAGGAATAAAAACATTTCTTTCTTTTGGGAAGTTGGAGTTGTATGCAGAAAGCACAAGACAGGGAAGAAGGATGGATTCTAAATGCTCTGTCTGGGAGTAGACTGTACACTTGGGGTTTCTTCTGTGCTAAGTCTCTCAGGAGCCCACATTTGCTGCTCAGGACACATGTAGGTGATCACCTCCACCTTCACCACTGGAATGAGATGCCTCATCTATTGCCTGGATCTGGTGTTAGCCTGTGGGCCTATGTATTTTATACTTTTGCAGAGTTCATGGAGACATTCTGCCTGTGAGCAGTATGCAAATCAGCTTGCTCACTGTGTCCTGAGGTTTCCAAGCCCCAGAAACCATCCACAGTCATGTGGGCAGGCTGCCAAATGTCACTAACAGTTGTAGGCACCTCTCCCTTACCTTTGAATGGAGAACAGTGTATCTCTCTGTAGCATCCTTCAGCTTGGCTTTCACTAAGGCTCCAGTTGCTGAGGGTTCTCTGACTTCCTCAAAGTTATTTTCTGTGTCTAAGACTTTCTGTCCTGAGATAGTGACAAATCTCAAGTCTCCTTTGTGGGAAATGACATCTTCTGAGAAGCTCCCCTGATGCTTTAGCAGGGCGGGAAGGGCTTCAGGGCTGCTGCTCCCTTTATGCATGTTCTCCAGCTCTTTCTCAGACCGTTCCAGCCAGGTTTCAAATTCTTTATGATCCTGCAGAAACTTCTGCAGCTCATCTCGCAATGTCTGCACCTGCTTCAGCTCTGCCTCTGACTGGGCCAGGGAAGTCGCATACTGTTCCTTCAGCTCTCCCAGCTTCTCTTGCAGCGTCTGCCGTTCCTCGGGCGTGAGGTTGTGGCCATGCTGGTCCAGGAAGGCCTGAGCTGACTGGGTGGCCAGGATGAAATTTTGTTGCTGAGACAGCAATTCTTGGTGACTGGGACAATCAGTAGGGAAATCACAAAAATTTGGTTAACGCCAAACACAAGACAGCAAAAGGACTGTAAATCACAAAAATTTGGTTATTGTCTACATAGGTAGAGAGAGATCTCAATAGGTCGCTTCTAGCTGCTCAGAAATCACTAATCTCTCTCATTCTCTAAGCATTATGTTACACACAAAGGCCAAGTGAAATGACATATATATGTATATGTATAAAATGAAAGAGATTTCACGTGTGTTATTATTTCATGTGATTGGAGGCATAATCTGCAATGTAGGCAGATAATATAATATTCTTATTTAAGATGGGGTAGATGAATACCAAAAAGGTATTCTATGCCTTGACTAACATCATATGGATAGTTAAGAGACAAAAGTGTCTATAGCCTGACTCTCTTCACTAAAGCACCCTAAGTCTGAGAGAAAGTACAATTGGCTAACTAATAATTACACACATTGATGGAGGGGGAGACTAAGTTGATAAAACCATGCACATGACAATATAAAATAAATACTGGAGGCTGTGAAATGTGTCACATATCTGTGAAGACAATCCCATTGAAGAAAGAGCTTGGCAAATAAATTCATTAAATAACCAATTTGCCTGCCGGAGACAGTAAACTGTATTTCTGCAGAGTATAGGTAATTTGTATAGTGTTCATGGGCTTAGATGTGGGCCTCTTTCTACTCCAGTGGAATAAGTTCTTTCACACAGTTGTGATTGTTTTTAAAATGTTCAACAGAAAACAGAAGATCAGTCAGTGTTCTCGACTCTTCATACTGTTTATGCAATGACCCAGAGAAGGACTGTAGTCCATTTTTCTCCAAAATATTGTTCAGTTTCAGCTTATATCAGCAGTTTCCAGAGTCATCTCAAGAAAGCGGGGTGACAAATTTATTCTGATGACATGGTTTGTAGTTAACGGTACTAGAGCTTGTCTGTCCGCCACCCCAGTGTCCCCATTCTCATTCTCCAACCCACCCATGTCAGAGTTTGGACTTTATCTTGAGAGCCATAGGAAACCATTAAGAGTAGTTACTCTAGGACATAACATTGCAAAAAGACCACTCAGACTGGTAAGTGGACTGGAGGGCAACAGCCCAGGCTAGCAGAAGCCGCTAGTGACACAAGTGAAAGCTGACAGTAATCTGAACTACAATAATATCTCCAGGGAGATGAAGAAGTAGGGATGACTCTGAAAGATTAGTAAGCATAGGATATGGTGACTGATTTGACCTGCAAGAGTGAGGGAGGGAAAAGAAAATAGGATGATGTCCAGTTCGGAGAATTAAATGGGAATAAAGGAAGGAGAAAATGTTTGACTGGGGAAGAGGAAATAGTTCCATTTTTCTTTCTTTACTTTTGGAGTTCCATTCTTGAGGTAGAGGTGCAGGTGGTTTCAAGTTGCAAATTAGCAGGCAGATTTATACGCCGTTATATATACTGACTAAAGCTCAGATCAGGTGTTTTGGTTGGAGACAAATATATAGTACAAATGTTGTAAACCAAAAAAACTATCCAAGGCCAAGCATATTTTGAATGATGAGAAGATGCCTAGAATATTACCTGGAAGCACATCAGCATTCTAAAAGCTGGTCAGAGGAAAGGAAGAATTACCTGTGATGGTGCTGTGGAAACTAAGGGGGAAAGTACTTTAAGGGGAGTAGTCAACAGTGTCAAAATTCTGGACATCAAGAGAAGATGGGAACTTAGAAGTGCTGGCTGGATTTAGGGGTAAAGACGTCACAGTGACTTGCCCAGGGCAGAAAAGAGGCCCCCAAAAAGCGAGGGCAAGCTAACATTCTCACCTTTAACTTCTCACACTGCTGGTCCAGTTCCTCTGGAGCATGGTTTGCCCCCACGTGACCATCGGTGGAATCCAAGGCTCCTTTCTGTGGGCAAGCTCCTGCGAGGGGCTCCATCTGTCCACCGGACGATCCCACTGAAGTCACCCAACCCAAGAGAGCATCAATCTTACTCCTGTTCTCTGCCAGTTCCTTTGCAGCGTTACTCTGAAAGGAGCAGAGGGGCCGAGTGAGAAGGGCTTAGAGGCTCATCTATTTAGGTTACAGTTTAAGTAAAAGGGGGACATTTTTATGCTGAAAATAAACAGAAATGCAGATGCTCGGTATAAACAGTCTTTGTATTCATGAAAAAGAAATCTGTTGAAAAATAATCATTTACAATTATCTCTAGATTTTGTCTATGTCTCACTGCTCAAAACAAAACAAATCAAAAAATGAGGGGATCCTCTCTCCCCTCACTTTAAAAGGACTTTAGTAAGAGATGATTTAGGGCTGCCACCAGTGAGGCTTCACAGAACCTTTTTCAGGTACGCCAAGTTGAACCGGCTCAGCCGGGTAAGGAATAGCACAGTCACCCCCAGTCACCTGGTTGCTTTCCTGATGGGGACACAGACTTAACTCATCTTTTTCTTTGCCAAACAGAGCACTGAGTTCTTAAGCTCACCTCTCAATTTCTACCTTCTGACTCTTCAAGTTAATTTAATTTTGATTAAACAGGTTATGCCAAATGATACATTCACGCATTTCAGAATTCATCTCCAGGTGACTTATTTCTCTGTTCTCTGCCTCTCTTGCTAGTATCTAGGTCAATCTGCCAATGCTAAATAGGGTGCAGAAGAAAGGCCCTGTGAGTTTTCCTCTTCTCACTGGTTTACCCAGTGTTACAGTTCCCATTGTAGCTAGTGGCAGCCTGGGGAGAGTTGTGGCCACTCAGACTCCCCAGATAATTTTTCCTAGTACTCTGGGGTCTGCAGTCTGGATTCATGTTAGAAATATGCCATTTGCTTCTTCCTTCCCCAGGTACTACCCTTCCTCACAAAGTTCTGACATTTTTCAATTAGTCAAGAGTACTTAGTACACAGATAGCAATATTTTTTTTTTAAATAATATGAACTGCTTGCCAAACTATTCCTTACTTTAAAGTTCCTTAGGATGTTTCTCATTTAACAAATATTGACTCATAGACCAGCTCTATCTCATGATTCCATGCTCTCTGGAAGACAGTTTCCCCTCATTACCTTTTATTTGTGTAAGTACCAAATTTTTTTTTTTTTTTTTTTTGAAAAATACCAAGTGTCACAGCAGTCTGCTTACCTTTTCCGTCTCCTGCTGTAAGGCTGAGGTCACTACTTCCTCCAGCTCCTTCTGGGCCACCCGAGCCTGTTCCTGGAGAGCCTCATATTGCTCCTTAGCCTGATGGAGCTTTTCCCGAAGAGCTGTCAACTCACTGGGGCTCAGCTTGCTCTGGTTCTCTTCCAGGAACCCTTCAATGTCTTTGACCATACTGGCAAATGAGGCGGCACGGTTCTGAATGTCATCCTGCAAACCCTTAACACATGAGAGCAGGGACGGCAGAGTCATCAGTGTCAATGGGCCTCAAACCTCTAACAGTGTGCAGTGGCTAGGATGATATATCCACCACAGACTCATGTCCCCGCCTAGGAACTGCTTAAAATATAGGCCTAAACTAGTGCACATAATCAAGATATTTAACTTTATGACCTTTCAAATTAAGGAATTTTCTAATATTTAATTTCATAAGCAAACATTTGGTGAACACAAAACAAAGCGTGCCCATAGATATGCAGACTAGCAAACTTTTTACTTTGCAATGAATTATCCTCAAAGTGATCACTGTTCCATAAAGACAATAGGATTCTAGTTGGGTTGAAGACTGGTTTGTTCTTCATACACTCTTGGTTATCACTCTCTCCCCTTAATGTTGCTTATAGGGCGCAGCATGACATGGGCCCCATGCACTCTCCAGCTTCATCATTCACAAATCTTCCTGTTCTTTGCAGTTCAACTGAGCTCGTTTTCAGTTCTTGAGATGTTGTGCTCAATTCCATTTCTAATTCAAGCTCAATCCCATTTCTAAGTCAAGCCTCTGCCTGGCATATTCTCTTCCTCCTCCCATCCCTTCATGAATTAAACCCTATATATCCTGCACTCCTCAGTTTAAGTGACACTTCTTCAAAGTCATCTTTCCTGACATCCCAGACTAAATTAGGTCTCTCTGTTCCATATTCTCATATACCTTTTCCCTTATAGTGTTGTGTTCCTAACACCATAGTTAGTATGTTCATTGTTGTGATTATCTGTCATGTCTGCCCCTCCCACTAGACTGTGAGTTTCATGAGAACAGGGATGATGTCTGTTTACCATTTTGTTGCTAGCACTAAGTTCTGTGTCTGGCACACAGAGAGCTTTTATAAATATTTGTTAAAGGAATGAAAAAGTAGATGAACCCACACTAACCTTTAGGTCGCTTTGGTTCTTCTGCAAATCAGAGAGCCCCTGCTGGGTGACTCTACCTTGGTGGCCCATCAGTGCTCTTTTCGTCTGTCCTATCCAACTGCAGAGATCCTCCAGTTTCTGGTGACAGGTATTTTGTTGTTTCTGCAGGGTCTAATTAAAATGCAAAGGGGCCAAAGATAATTAATAATTCTCATTTTACAAATACAAGGTAAGTCCCTGAAATGTAAAACAGGAGGTTTTATTTCAAGGATGGAAAAGTTGGTGGGAGACTAGAACAGGAAAAGGCACAGGAATCATATTCAGAAAGCTCCCCTCATTGGGACAGTCACTGATGTAGGCCTGCATTCCAGATTATACAGTCAGAGGTAATTTCAGGAGTGAATGCTCCCAGGTTTTGGTTGGAAACTCGTGTGCCAGACTGTTGCTATTATCCATAGAAATAGAGAACAGAGAATTCAGATGTCTGAAATCCACTGATAATAGATTCATAGGAGATGATAACAAATTAATGGCTTTGTTCAATTTCTGCCCCTGAATCGGAGGACATGCTACATATTTTGTCAAAATATGAAAAATTAGAAGGATGGGACAGAAAAAAAAAGTCAAGAAACTGGATAATTTATAAGCTAATTGAGCTACTTAATAATTGAGCTGACTTTATAAATCAGATGTCTCACAAATGCATTAGATAGAATGATTACATGCCAGGTATGAGGGGCTTGGCTATTTTGAGAAGGCAAATGGTCAAGAATAGCAGCTGGCTCAGTCCTTCAGAAGTCTGCACTGGTATCAAACAGGAAAAGCAAGGTCCCAGGGGAGAGAGGGAATATGTTTCTGTGCCTGACCCTTTCCCAGCTCTCATTTCCGTTGCGTGACACTGAAGCACCTGACTGAGTGATTGAGCATGATGTGTTCTCCTGACCATCCTTCTAAAATAGTTTTCCACCACTTTCTACCTTCTGATGGCGTTTTAGTCACCTGCACTTACAAACAGGTGCCCACATTGGCCCTTTCTCCCCCTCTTTAGGACAAATAGAAGGGCTCTGGAAGAGAACTCCTAAGAGCTCTTCAGCTGTAAAACAGGATCTTCATGGGTTAGGATGGGTGCAGACTGAATCTGAAAAAAGCAAAGCAAACAAGTTAACACACAGACATACACATGCATTCAGAGCAAATATAGAGAGAAGCAGAGCATTTCTGACAATAACAAGATTAATAAACACTGTGGAATTAATTGACATGCTCAGAGAGAATGTTCACATGTAGTTCTGTCATGTGTTACAGACCAGAGGCCTACCCTGTCTTCAAAGGTGGCTCAGACCAATGCTTTTCCTTTGATTAGCCAAAGGCCACCCCATGCTATATAAATTTCCAAGTGAGGACACTGTAAATCTCAGATTGGGTGGTCAATCCCATTTGTTGAAGGTAATCTAAAACATTTCACTAGTATTTGATTTCAATTTCAATACAGTGAAACAATTAAGCAGTGATAGGTGCACAGGAAACCAACTACAACTTAAGTTCCTTTAAACCTAACTCAAAGGCTCAACAACAATACTTTCCACAATATTTAATAAAGGAGACCCTGAGACATATTTGCTGGTGATAATAACAATTCTAATATCATCTTGCTGAATTCCAAGGAGTTATTCAAACAGAAAAAATGGCACAAAAGCATCATTCTTGGTATTCTAAGACTATACTGTTATCATTAATGCAATTATGCTGAGTTTTAAAGGAAGAGAATTATGATGGAGAATGGCAGGCTGGGTAGATTTTCTTTCTTTTCAAAATGCATCACCCATGCTTCTCCACACTGTCCATAACTGAATAAGCACTGGGCACAGCAGTGTGAGAAGTGCTAGAAAATAATCATTATTTAAAAGGTTAAATAATCACTAATTAGATATTAAGTATAAATATCAAATATTTATTAAATAATTATTACAAAGTTAATGCAGTTCTGATAAAAATTTCTTTGTCAGCTCTTTAAAGGTCTCCAAGGAATCTCATAGTTTATCATTTGAAAAGCCCCAGAATAAAACTGTCTTTAGAACCATTCTTCCAAAAAGCTCAGAGAACCTAAATGTTCCTCAAGACCCTCAAAAGAATGCTGAGGGAGAAGCAGGAGGAAGACGGGCTAGGGATGCGGTATCATCTGAAAGTTAGTGAGACACAGCGAGGGCAGTCTCCCCACAAAGAACACACCTGCACATGTATACACATGTACACACATTCTCTCACACGCACACATAAAACCAAAACATGGCAGGAAAAACAGCCAGAACAGCTGCCTCTGAGACCAGAACCAAGCTGGCCTGAATGATATGAAATTTCAGATTTGGTAAACGCAGGCTACTGGATCATGACAGGTGGAGTCTGGGCAGAAAACCCAAAGACAGAGGACTTCCCAAAAGACAAATGGAGCCCAACTGCCGGTTCAGTCTGACCTTGACCTGGGCTGCCTGCTCCATTTGTTGAAGGCGGCCCTGCAAGGCATCCATCTGAGCTGCAGTCTGCTCCTCCAGGCCCTGGAAGGACCTCTGCACTTCATTCAGAAGCCTCAGCACCTGTCGATTCTGCTGAGGGGACAAGTCTTGGGCATGCTCAGAGATAAAGAACTGAATATCGAAAGCAAGAGCATCCAGCTGCGATTTCCTTTCAGCCACAGGCAGCTTCAAATCCTAAGGTAAGTAGGGAAAGAAAAAAAAAAAAAGATAGAAATGAAACTTCTAATTCTGTTATGAGAAGCTGTTGGTTCTAATCAGAAAACCAACATAATCAAAAAGGTTAAGTTCCTGTTTTTTTTAATAACTGACACCAATAATTCCTAGGCAAAACCAGCACTAAAGTCTCTCTTGCTTCTGGTCTCTCCAAAGTCCTCATAAATTATACTTAGACTACCATTACTTGGCCTTCATTTAAAAATACAGGGCACTTTTGGTTATTTATATTAACAGAATTACACTATTGCTAATCCCAGATATCAGTAAAAAGAATTTTTTTAAAGTCTTAGAAAGTATAACATGAACTGGCCTGAGACAAATGTATCTAATTGTATTTTCTTAGGCTCAAATATCTCTTTGCCTTTGTTGAGCAGTCACTGGTAGGCCGAAGTGAGAAAACATTCAACTTATTTGTGGTTTACTACAATTTTATTTTTACACTAATGTTCCTTCTACATTTTTAAACTGTAAAAGATTACAGTTAGACTCTCTTAAATAAAAGGAACATTGCTCCCTTAAAGCAGTAAGAACTGTCTAAACACTAGAATTATCTGCTTTCAGACATTCAAATATGCAATTTTCCCACAAACATTTAGTGATCATCAGCTGTGTTATACCGGATGCAATGAAAACAATTAAGATATCTATGTCTCTATCACTTTGAAACTGAGAGTAATCTACAGCAGAGGGTGGATCAACCAATGGGAGTAGTGGCTGATATTACTCTGGTTCTTATATATTTCAGTTTTTACCTTTCTCTCACCGACTTATTAAAAAAGAATCAATTAGATCAGGGCTTAATAAGAAGAAAGCATCTCTCTTTAGTGTGCTGGCAAACTAAAAGCAATGGGCCAAACGTGCCAGCCACCTGCTTTTGTAAATCAGTTTGTATAGGAACGTGCCACAACCAGTACTTATGTATTATGTCTGCCTTCATGTTTCAGTGGCATTTTGGTGGCTGTGACATAAATGGGCCATTTGCATGACCTGGGAGGTCTAATATATTTACTGGCCCTTTACAGGAAAAAGCTTGCCAGCTCATGCTCCGTATCATTGATCAAAAATTTCTGTGACACAAGTGTGTGGGGGTGTAGGGTTAGATCTTGGGCAAAACAGGAACAAGGAATGAATACCAGACGTTGACTCATAAAGAGGAGTTGACGTTGATAACAATAAGCTACCACTGGGCCTCCCCGGTGGCACAGCGGTTGAGCGCTGGGTTGCGAAGCTGCCTGTGGCCTCATCAGCGCCAGTTTGATCCCCGGCTGCTCCCCGGCCACCGGAGGAGGGTCCCACATGGTGCGCAGACCTCTCCTGCCGCCTGCTGCTCCCCTCAGCAGTGTATTTCAGTCTGCCTGCTCTGCTCCCCGCTCTGGCTCTGGTGAATTCTCTCACCCTCCCGTGCTTCTGACTGTACCCAGTGCATGTATAAACAAAACAAACAAACAAACAAACAAACAAATAAATAAATCTTAAAAAAAAAAATAAGCTACCATAGACTCTCAGAAATTAGCTGAATGGAGAAATAATCATAATCACTGAAGAGCTGGGGGTAAGATAAGCTACGAGACTGAACATAGCAGACTTTATTTCTGAAAGGGAAAACCAAACTTTCTCTGAAAAATACAGAGATACTGATTTACCTAGCAGGAAAATAAAAGTGATACAACTCAAAGGACAAACAAGACATGCTTGAGAGCAGGTGCCATTTACCTCATGCTGTTGGAGACAGAGCTTCAGGCTACTGGTGTCTGTCTCACTGTCATAGTCCTTGCTGTTCAGAGTTAGGTGGGTACTGTCAACCCAGGCTCTCAGCTCTTGAAGTCTGCCTTCTAGTTGTTTGTGCTCATTTAACACACTCACCTAGAAATAATTAGCAAATTAGACTGTAAAAATCTCCAAGCCTGCCCAGACTTTGTGAACCCTTTGTGAATAAAAACAAGAAGCCACCTTTTTTGCATCCATAGCATTCTGGAGGTGAAGGAGTCTAGAACTCCAGGTGTCACTCACAGAGCTGAGGGACTTTTGGAGATTCTTGGCATCTTTCTCTAGAGCCTTAAGCAGCTGAGCAGGGACTTCTTGAGGCTGGCTGATGATAATCTGATTCACACACTCCAATTCCTGACTCACCACAGAGGACAGATCCTTTAACTCTTTGTCTAACACCTGAGGAAGTAAAGTGGAGTCACAAAATCAAGACTAGAAACCTCACTCTAGGGATCAGCTGTGAACACATTCGCCTCTCAACTCTTGGGGATATGGGCTTCAGGGCTCATAACATGTTCTATACACGTTTATTAGTTTGTTGGGTTCTCACAATCACTAATTCTTTTTTAAAAAATAATTTATTTTATATAATTCTTACATCATTTTTCATCTTTGCACAATGTATGCATTTTCATTTTGGTTATATTCCCCATACAATTGCACCCCCCCCCTTATTTTGACTCTAGTTCTTCCTCTCCCAGCCCCTTCCTAACCCCCCCCACCTCCTTCCATAGTGTGTCTCTGGTTTATAGTTGCTTGTTGATTTTGATTATTACTTTGCACTGACAATCACTAATTCTTGATGTAGGCAGAGTAGATATTATTACTGTGGATTTACATTGCATGAAAATGTGAAAGCTGGGCCTCCCCGGTGGCGCAGCTTTTGGGCGCTGGGTTGCGAAGCTGCCCGCAGCCTCTGCAGCGCCGGTTCCATCCCCAGCTGCTCCCCGGCCACCAGAGGAGGGTCCCACATGGCGGGCAGACCTCTCCTGCCGCCCGCTGCTCCCCTCAGCAGTGTACTTCAGTCCTTCTGCCTGCTCTGCTCCCCGCTCTGGCTCTGGTGAATTCTCTCAGCCTCCCGCGCTTCTGACTGTACCCAGTGCTTGTGTGTATAAATAAATAAATAAATCTTAAAAAAAAAAAAAATTTAAAAAAGAAAATGTGAAAGCCCCCCTCCCCCTCCAAAGTCACCCAGCTGGTAAGCAGTAGTCAGGACTTCTGACTCAAAGCGGCTCTTCCTCCACTATGGCTGCCTGTACAGGATCATCATTGTGTCTTGTATAACTTTACAAGAAATAAGTCAATCAAAGGATGACATACTTCCACTCCAAATTCTAATTGAGCAGAACCAAAGAGCACAAGGAGTTTCCCAAACCAGCCCTCCCACTCAGCAACTCTACAATATTCTGATCCTCAGCGGGGAGGTCAGACCCAAGCTGTGGAAAAGGAAAAGCTTGGTAGCTCTGCAAGGCAGGTTCATCTCTGCCCCTTTCGTCATCCTCCGAGGTTGGGCTGAGGACTGGGAAGCCTCTACAATCTCTGTCCTCATTGTGAGTCCAATTCTGTGACGACTCTTCATCTCCAGTTCCAGTGAAGAGCTACTCTTCCTCCTTCTTGAGGCTAATTCTACATCCTTCTGTGACCATCAGTCATCACTTTCTCTCTCCCCTAACTTCAAGTTCTCCTTGTCTATTTGGAGGTTCTTTTTTCCTCAGGACCAGAAGTCACTCAAAATATTCCTCTTTCAGTTCATCTCCTCTAGCTGTGTCCTACCTCTTTCTTGACTGTGGTCAAGGAAAAGCTTCTGGAAAGAAAAATCTACACTAATTATCCCTACCTTCCAGCCTCATTTATTCTCATTGCAACCTAGCTTATAGACTACCACTCCATTAAAACTGTTCTTGTCAGGGTCACCAGCACCTCTGAGGTGTTAAGTCCCCTTCTAGTCCTCACTGTACACAGTGATCTACTATAGTTCAGGTGCTGGCTGACCAGTGCTCTTTTCCATCTCTTCTCTCCTGGTTTCTATGAGAAACTGATGTTTTAACAAAGATCTCCAATTGTACTTTTTAATCTATTTTTTGTCCTTTAAGTGGTGGTGCTTTCTTCCCAAGTAATCTCTATTTCCTTCCAGCTGATGGGCCTAGCAGAAGTCTCTGGGAACCTACCTTGGCCTGGCAGAGCAGATCCTGTAGCTTGGCCAGGTTTAGCTCCACAGGTTGAATCTGCTTGGTTCTCATCTCAATGTCTCGTAATAGAGAGAGATAGGACACCAACTTTTCGTCATGTTCTAGACAGAGTCGCCGGTTAAATACATTCTGTGAAGTCAAAAGAAAACTAACTCAGTTCTTATATTCTCCTTTAAGTTTGCTTTTTAAAGCAGGAAAGGTCTTATTGATAGAGAAGTAGAAAGAAGCAATTTTTACTATACATATGCTAGAATTAAATAAAACATGTTATTTTATCTACGTTATCTCAAATCAAGACAAAAAAGTGATCTTATTAATTTCCAGAGGGAGCAGAAGCTAATAACTACCAACCTACAAGCATCATCTTAGCAAAGTTTCCCAAAGCTATTCTAATTTTAGGTAGCACCACCCCAATATTTTGGGTCAGTCTCTAACTTATAACTCTTGCAAATTTGAGAAAGACATTCAGACCCGTTGCCTAATTTCTTTATAACTATCCTACACAGATGATAATAAGCTTAGTTATACCTTCAAGAAGCATCTAGTGTCACAAAATGTATTTATGAATACAATTATACATATGTAAACTCATCCTCTAGTCAGGAATTTTAGCATTAAACTAGTTAGAACACATACAAGAAAACTCACTTTAGTTGCTCTGAAGGGCTCTGGGGTTGCACCTTCATTTCCTTTTCCCACAGGTACAGTCGGGGAGGGCATCTGCTCACTGTCAGGGCTTTCTCTGAGCATTTCCTGTGGCGTCTTCTTGTCGGTCTTCAGTGCAGGACATGTTAGGAGCACTGTCTTTTCTTCACTGGTCTCTGGAATAGTGGGACTAATGGTGGCATCCTGTTGTCCTATACTCTCTTTTTGAGACATATCTTTAAGCTGTTTCTCTGGAAGAAGGGACAGCAAAACTCTGGGATCCCCCTGAGTCACTATGCCTTCAAAGGACCCTGCTTCTGTACCTGTAGCTAGAGGGTCTGTGCTTTCTAGAAATTCCTCTCCAGTTATTTCCTGAGTGATTTCTACTTCAGATTTGAAAGTTCCACCAAGCTCGTGATCCTTTTTGTTCTCCTGATAATGAAGGTCTTTTCGATCTGAGAATTCTGGATAATTGGTTTCTCTCGGGTCTACTCTAGAAAATGTAATTTCTTCCTGTAATTTAAGAGCTCTCGTTGAGTCGGGAGATACTTCTTGGTATTTTTTTTCTTTATACTCATTAGATGAGACAATCAGATCTTTGGTATCCTTAGTTTTAAAAGTAACACCAAAATCTTGACAATAGTTGGTCTCCTGTCTGGTGGTCCCTTGGAAAGACTTGTCTGTTATGGAAATTCCAGATGTGTCGGCAACTTGGGGTTTTCCAAATGATTCCTGGTAGAGCAATCCTTCAGATCTGGAGAGCACAGAAGAGAATGGCTCACTCTGAGCCCCAGAAGTAATTCCTTGAGATAAATTTTCTTCTGGTTTTAAAGTCAAACAGAGGCTTAAATCTTTAACTTCTCCTTCATTGGCCTCATTGGACCTAAAGAATGTTAAGGCATCTTGATTTCTTATAGAAATCCCTTCAGGCATCATTTGAGAAGAAGAGTCTTCTGTTTTACAAGTAACAGAAAATCCCAGCTCTCTCTCAGCTTCTTTCCCTTTTTCAGTTATGATTATTTCCATGGGTTGACTCTTCATATTGGAATCATTGTCACCTCTAGTTTCCTGATTCAGCTTTTCCTCTGAAAGAACAGTAGGTTTGCCTGTTTTGATACTTTCCTTTACAACCATCTCCCTCTTCTTTCTCTTTCTTTTCTCCTTGGTACTCACTGGCTTCTGCATCAACTGCTCACTCAGCAATTTGCTGGGGGTGTCACAATTTGATTGTTGTACTTCTGAAATAATATCTCCTCGGTTTTCCCTTACTTCTTTAGAATCTAGACCTGACATGGACTGTTTTGTATGAGAAATAATTTCTGTTTGTGCCACTACTTCATTTATCTTTTTTCCCATGTTACTACTAGTGACTGCTTCAGGTGTAAACTCTTGGGCCGCTGAGTGAGGCAGCGTCAATGAAACATGGCCCAGCGGTTTTCCTTTAAGGTCACTAGGAATTATGACACTGACAGATTCTCTAGCCTCTGGATCCTTGCCCTCCAATTCCGTTAAGGATATTCCCCTGCTCTTTTTTGCCCGCTCGTCACTGGAAATTCTTGCTTTACCCTTTTCTTGTGCAGATTGACTTTCCATTTGAAATAACTTCTTTCTTTCACCTTCACTGCAGTTCATTTCAGCAGTCCGATTACAAGTAGTTACCATTTCTTTTTCTAGAAATTCCTTCTTTAATCCACGTACTTCAATTTCATCTTGCATTTTAATCTGAGTCCTGTGATCACAGAGTTCTGAAGTGTCCACTTGGATCATGGCTGCCAGTTCAGGGCTGATAAATTGCTTCTCAATTGCTTCCTTTAAAGTGACTCTCTGATTGCTAAATATGTCAACAATTCCTCCATTTAAGACCTGATGAGATGCAATAGTTCTGACCATGTTTTCATCCACTAATTTCTGTCTCAGAGCTAATGCCAATGTCAGTTTATTTCCTGTAGTAGTATCAATGATTCCACCAGTATTTGCCTGGGCTTCCAGAATCTTCAGCATAGAGGCAAAGTCTACTTTTCCCAGCTGAGTTGCCTGAGCCAACGTAAGTACTTTGTCACTCACTTCATCTTTAATGTCTGAGAAGGGAATTACTTCTAGGTACCTCCGTCCAGATTCAATATCAATCTTACATTTCTTTACTAATTCTGAAAAGGGAACAATTCTGTAATTCTCAGGGTCTACAACCTCATGCATCATTCCTGAAGACAATACTGCTTTATTAGCTAGCAGTCCTTCTTTTTTGGCTTCTGCCAAGGTCAATTTCTGGCCAGAAAGGAGATCCACAAAGTTGCCGGTCAGGGCCTGAATTTCCTGGATTTCTGTTTTTAAGTCTGGGGTAACTAGATCTAATTTTATAGCCTCAGGGAGAGAAATCGTTTCTTTTGTTTCAGGATGTAAAAACTGATGCAGGTTTAAGTTCTCAACTTTTTTGAGTTCTTTGGCTAAATCTTCATCAATAATACCATGTTTAAAGGCATTATCAACAGAAAGTCTCATCCCAGATATATGGTGAATGATACCTCCATCTACCACCTGCTTCGCCAACAACTGAATGGCCTCCTTTCTTGCCAAAAGTCCTCTGTCAATGGACTGTACAACTGTTAAAGGGGTTTTGCTCTCAGAGTCCACAATTCCAGTTGTTTCCATTTGTAAGCTAATTAACCTCTCCCTAACTATTTTTTCAGCATCTCTGCCTTTGGAAGCTTTCTCCAGATTTATAAGCTCTGTCTGGTCAACACTATCTACCAAGCCAAGATTTGAGGCCAAAGTTACTGAAACCTTTTTGCCTCGTTTCAGGTCAACAATTCCACCAGTCACGACCTGCCCCTCTAAAATTCTGGTGGCTGTTTGTGTGTCTATAAGTCCAGCTGTAACTGCTTCCTTCACAGAGCAGAGGGTGTGGGTCCGGGGGTCTAAGATCCCACTGATAGCTTTGTCTGTCATGAGGACATTATGCAGTAATTTCTCATCCATCAAACCTTCATTGATGACTTCTTCAGTTGTCAAAAACTCTCGGGTCTGAGAGTCAAAGAAACCTCGAAACATGTTCAGTTTTGCCATAAGCTTCACAGCAGTGTGACTGGGCACAACACCTTGGGCTACTGCTTCATTTAGTAACAGCTTTTGACCTGTTTGTTCATGAAAGATGCCGCCATCGAGTAATTGTGCAGATAATAAGTTTAAGGAGGCTTCTTCAAGCAATTGTGAAGGATGATCATGTGACAGGGAAGTTTCATTCCCATCAGCCTCTCTGTCCATCTCTCCTGACATCACCACACCGCCGCCGGCAATGTTAAGTCCTTCTCCTCTTTGCTTATGCTCATCTCTATCTGGAAATGCTTTATTCAAGGCCGTCTTTTTGTCCAGAGAATGAGTATCTGTACCATTCTCATTCTTTAGTTCTGATTCCAGATCTTGCGTTTTCGCTACCTGAAATTGTGAAGTTGTGCTTTGGGGTTTTATAAGAAGTCTTTCAGTTTCACCTGGAATACATTCGATGTCAAGCATTCGTTCTTGCTCTTTCTGACACAAAGTCTTTCTGAGAGTCTGCCATTCTTCCCTTGGTGTTTCAACAGAAAAAGAATCTTTGTCCACCACCACGGTCATATCTTCCACTTTCTCAGGAGGTATCATAAGGAGAAATTCTCTGCTGATATCTTCTCTGGCAGATACATCTGTTTGGTCGTCCTTTTTGACACCAAACAATTGCCTTTTTAACTCTGATTTGACTTTACTTTTCAACTTCAAAGTATCGACATTTGGGTTTCTCACTTTTTGTTCCTCAACAAATAGGCCCCTTTCAGGGTTTTCTATAGAGGGGGCTTCTGTTTCGATAAAAACCTTTGAGCCTTTTGCTTCATTGCAGCTTGCTTCATCAGGGTACTCGGTGTTCTGAGAAGAAAACTGGAGCTCACACAGCCTTGCAGTCGGCTCATCACAGAAAGACTCTGTCATTTTCACATCCATTGGTTCATGTAATTCCCCAGGAGTTTCTAGCTTTTGGTGCCTAATTCCAAGTATTTCTGGAGGACTTGCTTGACATTCACCTATTGCCATTAGGGTCTCTATCAGCTTGTCGTCTAGCAGCAGCAGCCTTTGTCCATTCTGCACATTAATACAGCTGTGAGTCATGAGTTCAAAAAAAAGCTTATCACGACGACTTGTTAAGCCCTCTGCTTGGCCCTTGCCACCTGGCAGACCTGCCGTTGCAGGACTAATGTTCAATTTGCTTCGTTCTGAAGAGCCTGCTAATTGCATGTGCGGCATCACATCAGGTATGCAAATTGATTTTAATTTATTGGCAAGATCTCTGTCTAAGATGCCATTTTTTATTGCTTCTTTCCAGGACTGAATCTCTGTGGTTGCCGGTAGAAACAGAGCCTTGATATGCTGTCGGCCACTAAGGATTTTACAAGCTAGTTCAGAAGACACAATACCTTGCTCCAGGGCATCTGTAATTGGTCGGATCTCTCCAGATTCTGGCCATAGAAACCCCATGAATGACCAAAGGGACTCCAGAATCACAAGGGCAATCTTAGGAGCTACCAGATCTTTGCTTACTGCTTCATCTAGTGTCAGTCTACGCCCAGTGACGGGGTCTATGATGCCTCCTGTCTGAAGCTGCCTTATGAGAATAGCACAGGCCATATCTTGGTCAATCAAATTATGTCTCACAGCCTCATCCACTGTAAGTCTGTGTCCTGTTCTTGGATCTACTATGCCACCAGCAAAAAGCTGAGCTTCCAGCAGTCGGACAGTGACCTGCCTATCTATTAGCCCTTCCTGAACTGCACGGAAAATGCTAACCTTCCGGCCTGATTTCAGGCTTACCATTCCCCCTGCCAGTTGCTTGACAGGCAACAATTTCAGCCCTGATTCTTGGTGCACAATGCATCTATGCATCAGATCCAGCAAACTGACTTTCTCAGCTGTGTTGGGATCGATTAAATTCTTGGAAGATCTCAGATGAGACTCAAACACTGAATGAAACTGGGCGGAAATGAGGCCTTGCTGGAAAGCCTCCTCGAGGTTAACATAGTTCTCATTAGAGGGGAGACTAAAACCTCCAGTTGCCATGTGAGCTTCTAAGATCTTCAGTCCAACTCTCTCACTGATTATTTTCTTTTCAATTGCTTCCACCACAGAAAGAGGACCTTTGTTCTCAGTATGCCTGAATATTAAGGACAGGGCATCCTGTAGCTCTCGGAGCTGTTGGTACATCTGGGGATTAATGAGGTTTCTAGCTAGGCCCTCCTCCAAAGAGAGCTTTTCTGTGGTCTCAGGAGCAATGAGGCCAGATATGATAACCTGGGATTCCAGGAGCACAAGGCCTGTATCTTGGTCAATGAGGCCCTTTTGCATGGCTCTGAAGATGGGAAATATCTCCACTGTGCCTAGGTCAATCACCCCAGCAACTGCTCTGCAACCCTAAAAGAAAAAAAAAAAATGAAAAAAAAAAATCAGAGAAGCAGAGCTGTTGAAAGGAGTCAAAAAACTATAGTTTATAAAATTCTGACCATAGAAGAACCCAGCCTGGAAGGAGAGCCCACATGTAGCAGACATTCTGAAGCCTGGCAGTATTAATGCTAAAAAAGAATTTTTCTAAACTACAGAATGTTTAACATGGCCAGAAGTTCACCGATTACTTGAGGGATGGTCGCATTAAGCACACCTGAGGTGATAAGCTCTATAAAGTAGCAAGCAGTGAAAGTGAGAGGAAAGCTCTTTCTAAGACTAATTTACCGCAAAGGTTCTTATAGACACATACCAGTTCCCCAAAAGTGAGAATTCAACCCCATGTGGCAACTTCTCAGTGCTGCAACTCATACAGAAGACCTTCCAAGTAGCACTTCCCTGCTGACGAGTGCAGCAGGACAGGTCCACAGGATTAGAAGAGAGTTTAAGGTGTCAATAGCCACATGACAGTTGTACACCCCAGTAAATGAGCCTGTGAAGAGTACTCAAGCAGCTGCTTAGCAACTGGGGCAATCATTCTTAGTGGTCAGTGCTGAAGTCTCCCAAAGGATGAGTTAAATTACTCCTGGGAGTTGGAAGTTGCAAGTCAATGAAGGAACAGACTGTGGTCTCTTGCTCTGGACCCACCAACTAAATTTTCTTTGGGGTGAGACCAGTAGAACCACCATGATTATAGCTACCACTTGTGGAAGACTTAATTATTTACTGAGGACTTAATATATTCACTGAGCACTGATATTCAATCCCCAACAATCCCATGACAGCAATTATTTTCATTTAAGTTGCATGTAGGAAAATGAGGCACAAGAGAGGTGAGGTAATTTGTCCAGGATGTCCAGGGAGGTCTAGCTCTAAAGCTGGTGCTACTGTCCTGCCTCCCAGTCAGAGCTGGAAGAGCCTGAAGGACAAGTATAGTAGAGTTGTTTCTTTTCAGGAGTTAGGCCCTCAGGTCAGTGAATAAGGCTAAGCTTTAGGTTGCCAAAACTACTTTTGCAAAAAATAAAAAAATCCTAAAACAGCTCCTAAAGAATTCCCATTTTGAAGCCTCTACTCACACAATGAAGTATTCAGAAGTTAATGACCCAGGAGCTCTAGCACTCAGCACACTGCATCACTGGTGTTACTCTCCAACTTTCTAGCTGTTCTTGTTCCCCTTCATAATCTTCACCTTCTACGGATGGTTTTATCCATCCCTCTGGTGGGTATCACTTTCTGACTTCTACTTAACTCTTTACCTTATCCAAGGGGGATCTTGTTGAAATAACTGCCAATCACTTTCCTGCCTCCTAAATAATGCATTTCATTTCTACTTCAGGAAGAAGTATGCTCTATACCAACAGGCTAAGAACAGACACTTTGCCCATGCAGTATCTAGGAACAGAACCAGCAGTTCCATAAACAGACATTTGATGAGTAAGTGGATTACCATTAAGGAAACCCTGAAAGTCATTAACTGATTTCTCCCCCAGATTTTAGAAACATGCACTGAGGAGTCTGAGCCTGTAGCACGCTGCGCATGGGAGACGCAGAGTGGGTGGCAGTGAGGCCCGACTTTGGCTCATACCTCATCTCAGTGTGTGCTCAGACTGTGGAATAGCTGATAGAACTCTTCACACTATTTAAAATACATTTGGTATTCTCCACCTTCCCCCCAAGTTTGCTTATAGATCTAGGATGGAGAGTTTAGCTGGTAAAATGTAAACATGTATGTTATGAGAATCCACAAGCTGTCTATTCTATCGAGATTGAAGGAAGAATCACTGGCCTCTGACTCTCAGATAGCTCAAAAATTCCTCTTACAAAATCCATGCAGAGACTATTCAGAAGCAGAAAATATGAGCAAGGAAAAGATTCTCTGGGGAACGCAATGTCTTCTGTCAGATTCATAGTCTCAGAAATGCTGATACTCAGGTAAGGGTTGGGATCTAGCCAAAGAGGAAACACTACATTCTCCTTCTGACACCTCTAAATTGAGGACAGACAGGAAGCTGGGAAGTAATCCAGACAAATCCATTTCAGTTCCATCAAACATGAGCTGTCTGACCTAAACAAACAGAGACAGAGGGAGAGGAGGAGAGAAAACATAAAAGGCGTCTACTTACCGGAGTCGCGGGCACGCCTCGGCAGATAAGAGACAGAGCCTTACGGAGCAGCTCAGCCGCATCGCACACACAGTGTAAGCTTGGTGTTAGCGTCCAGCATGCGACTTTGTTTTTTTGCAAAAAAGAACCCCAAACAGGTCGTCCTCTTTTCCCTTTGTGCATTTGTGCTTAAACTCCAAAGGGTTAGTGAAACTTGTAAGCAAGGATGTCAGTTAATCAGAACAATACTTCACATGAAACACACAAACGGTACAGGGACACATCATGCTCAATGGAGTGTGCTCGGCAGCTCTTTCTGTCTTTCTTTTTCTCCCCCTTTATAACCTTTCAAAACGAGAACTGGATGTTCTCAGCAAGCAATTGTTAAAACTTTTCACATACTCCCTTATATGGTGAAGCAACAGGCCATTAGCAGTGGGTTACCTTACAGAGACTGCTAAACCAGCACGTTCTTTTGCAAGTCTACTTGCAAGTGAATCTTTGCTGGCTCTGTATTGCAGTTGTTACAACTCTGGTTCTGTATTGCGGTTGTTACAACTCTAGTTCCTGCTGCACAAAGGTCATATCCAGGACCAGAGTCAACCTGTACTTCATCTGAGCATCATTTTGAGAATCATCTTGACCAAATTCGATTACCACGTGAGCTTAAGTTTGGTCTGTTCCACATAAGATGGCCACTGCTTCACAACATAGGAAATAAGCAGGCAAACACAGATATATCCCGGAGACACATGGATATGATATGGTACGTTTACACACACACACACACACACGTATCTAGCAAGAACTTAGAACAACCAGCAGGAACTTGAACAACTTCCAAATGGTCAGGAGATGAACACAGGTGGGAACTAGTACAGACACCACGTGATGGGGTGACCATGGGTGAGGGGAGCCAGCGTCTTAGTCAGTACAGCTAATCCACCAGTGTGCTTTGAAAATGAACATTTCTCTCTCTCTTTTTTTAGTAGATATGAAAAAAAAGTATGGGGAGAAAAGGTTCATGCTTTTTCGTCCCAATATTCAGAAATCTTGGCTATCAACTTTTGAGTGACAATGCCAGAGAGGAGTAATCTTACTGCCCTGAGGCCAGAAATAACATAGAATTTATGTTCTTCTTGACTGCTGTCACAAAAGGCTGATGACCCAAGCAACGGACCAGGTCTGTGGGGCTAGCTGTACGTGCCTTCTAGGGCTTTTCACTGACCAACACATCGTGGGACCCCAGTAAAGAAACACAAGACAAATGGTTGCTAAGGTGAAGTTAAAAATTAAGTCATACTGGTCATGGAAAGCTAGTGGTCGTGACTCTCAATCAGCAAAGCTGCTTTCATACCATTTGAAAGTGCCCTCCCAACACTTGGAGAGAAAAACTAAAAGTACCTTTTGTTCTGTTTGTTGAGCTAACTGGCTCTGAAGTTGCTGAAGCTGGTTTGCTGAGCCATCACAAAGGCCATGATAAGTTTTATTCAGGGCATTCAATTGTTCAACTATCTGTTCCTTCTCTTTTTCGGAGAGCCTGAAAGACGAAGCATTAACGTTCTTAAAGACAAAAGCATCTCTGAACTTTTGACTCAAAATCATGACTTCTCCACCTTGCCTGGTGGATTCTTCTTTGTCATTGTGAACTCACTCTGGCATCTAGCTCAGAGTCCCACTGTCTAGCTCACATCAAGTCACGTGATGTCAATGTTACCGACTGTCTCACGCTCTATGCTTATAGTACTGTAACCATCTCAATACAAATCCCCTCAGCTCCACGTTGGCCCCACCCACACATGGCAAACTTGTACCTGCTATCATCTAAAATTTTAAACTTCAAGAATGCACTATTTGGTTGCAACTTCTGATGCTAACCCTGCCTTTCCCATTTCCTTTCTTTACTCTTACACATATTCTCCTAAACAGGCAAAAAAGAATAAACTCCCATTTATCCATTACCCATCTGTCCAGTTTTAACCAAATTTTAGTAACTTGCCAGATTTGCTCAGGATCCTCTTTTTAGAAATGTGTATTTGTGACCAGTCCCATTCTTCTCTCTCTCCCTAGAAGTAATTGCCATCTTGAATCCTTGCAACTTCCCTTTCTCAACCCACATGATGTTTTGAGAATGAGGCCTACCACTCATATTTTAACAACCCACCTTCTTCCCGAGCTTCTCCAGGGTCCATACTCTCAACCATTTACTTATTAGTCTGGCCTCCTTGCATCCTTTCCTCATTAACCTGACAAAACTCCAGCCCCAGGTGACTCACCCCACTGGATGGCTCTGCTCCCACGTGTGGGTTGCTAAGTCCAGCCATGATGAGAGGAAGGGGAGGGGAGGGAATCCCACAGACACTAGGAAAAACTCAACTGTTTCCTAACATCCACTGCACTTTGACGCTTCCTTGCAATTATTATGGCAACTGCCAGGCAATCCTTTTGTACCCACCTTAGCATCACTCTAACTGTCAAAAATCACTCTGCCTATTTCAAAAAAAGAAAATATAATCCATAAGACACTAATTCTCTCACTCTCTGGCTTCAATCCTAGAATAAATACCTTCCCCTCAGGCCTCAGAGGAAAAGCAGCCCCAAATCCTGTTTAGGGCTGTACTTTCGACCTACCGATAAATGGAATTTATCCTTTCCTACCTCCCTGGGGACACCTTTTCCTGGTACTACAATCTTGTTCTCCCTTTTGGTTTTTGAGAGTCAGTCTAAAAACAGTTAAGTCACCCTGAACTTTTCAGAAAACAAAACTCTTTCTTGATCATATATCCTACTGATTATTTCCTATACTATTTCTTCCCTTTCCTCTGGCCAAATTTCTGGAAAGAGTGGTCTAACCTCACCTCATGTACTCCCCCTCATAGTAAATCAGACATCATTTCCCAACTTTTCGCCAGGGTAACCTGAAACTTACAACTTGCCAAATCTGACAGATACTTCTCAGTCTTAATCCTTTCTTGACTTCTGACATTTCCTTCTTTGTGAATGCTGTTCTCTCTTGGCTTCTGAGATTTCCGTCATAATTTTCATTTTACTTCCCTAGAGCTTCCTTTACATGCTGAGAAGCACTGAGAAGCCCTTGTAAGCTGATCCACTCTTAGGACGTCTACTATGCTGGTGATTCACAATTCCATCACTCTAAATTTCTCTCATTAATGCTAAATTCATGTCTGCAGCTGCCCATTGGGCATTTTTACATTTTACCATGTCAGGCAAGAGTTCACCTATGAAGCAATTCCCATTACATACTAGGGATTTCCCTTCTGACCTCCTATGGGTTCTTCCCACTTACAGTGTCTAAAATGGAAGCTGGCATCTTCTACCTCAATCCACTACTCCTGCACTCCTTTTCTTGGTTAGTGCTTTAACACAGAGCCATTGACCTTTACCAGAAACCTGGGAGTTATAGCTGAATATATTTTTTCCTGCCAAACCTTGTAATGTCATCATCTTAGTATCTTTTGGTTCTTCTATCCCTTGTTATTTCTCACCTATATTATCAGAATAGTTTCTTAACTGGTCTCTCAGCCTCCACTCTTACCCCTGTCAACATATTCTCTGTGAAACATTTCTAAAAACCTGTTCATGTTAAAATCCTTCCCAATAGCCAATAAGGTAAAATGTCAACTCTTCTGCACTAACCATAAGGATCTTTATAACCTAACTCTTGCTGCCCTGAAACGTCTGCCTCAATTCTTGCCACAACTCTAAACTTTAGCCAGGTACATCATATCCCCTGATATGGTTCAATTTCTCATTCAGTACTCACTTATGACCATGCTTGGCCAAGAAGATCTGTGAGGTTTTAATAGCCTCAGAGACTTGTTCTTTCTTTGTTGTCAGCTCCTCTGCCAGAACCTAAATAATAGAAATTTTAAAAAAAAAAAGCTTCAGAATCCAAGAAATAAAATATTTGAAATAAATTTTTAAAAATCCTACAGAAAACCCTATCTTAGGCCATGATAGTATTACCAGTGAACCACATAAAACTCGTTTAAAAAAGAAAAGTACAAATAAGATGACTTAAGTTTAAGATTCAGAAGTTAACCTTTATGGAGATAAGAACTACATGGCCCATATGTGACCTGTATTATTTCACCTACACAGTCATGTATTATTCTATCCAGAAAGAGACAGCTGGACCATCTACTCACCTGCTGATCTGAAATAGCTTTCTCAATGTCTGTTGATTCTTTGGTCTGGGATGAGGTAGCTTTGCTTTGGGTATTCCTTGCTAGGGTAGAAACCCAGCCCAAAAGTTCTTTAACCTTCTCCATATGCTCCTGTTTTTCCTCTTCTACCACTTTCTAGAATAGGAAATAGAAAATCAATAAATTGGGCGATGTCTTATTAGACTGGCCTATTTTCAGATTTCTTAAAATAGATGTGTGACAGGGGCCTCCCCGGTGGCGCAGCAGTTGAGCACTGGGTTGCGAAGCTGCCCGCAGCCTCGCAGTGCCAGTTCAATCCCTGGCTGCTTCCCAGCCACCAGAGGAGGGCCTCACATGGCGCGCAGACCTCTCCTGCCGCCCGCTGCTCCCCTCAGCAGTGTACTTCGGTCCTTCTGCCTGCTCTGCTCCCTGCTCTGGCTCTGGTGAATTCTCTCACCCTCCCGTGCTTCTGACTGTGCCCAGTGCTTCTATAAATAAATAAATAAATCTTAAAAAAAAAAAAAAAAGATGTGTGACAGATGCCTACATCAGTAGGCAGATAACATAATCCCAACATAAATGTAATAATATACCCAGCCTATGGCATTGCTCACAGGTGCCTAACCATATGATATTAATAGCTAAACTCATTATATCCAAGTTAGCCCCTTTCCTAAATGCAGTGTTTTCTGGATAATGCACAATCAATGTGGAGGGGTGAAGCACTGGACTTTAGATGTCCTTAGGCCTGGGAGCCAGCTGTCCTTACCTCCTCCTCCTCCAGCCGCCGGAGAGCATCACTGATGTATTTCACATGCTGAGTTGTTAAGGTCACCAAGGCTGTGTAGCGCGTCCTCAGGTCCATGAACTATGGTTTAAAAAGGCAATTTAGATATATTATCTGCCACAAACGTAAATTTAAATAGCTAAGAATAAGAGAAAGTTTTCACAAAGTCACACGTTCAACAGGTAGGTGAGCCCTAAATCCAACTCTAAGGCCCAGACACATGGAGTCCCCCTGAGCGGAAGGAGTGGCGTGTGTCCATCCCCATGCTTCACCTCTTGCGTGATGGCGTCGGAAGAAGAAAGCATGCGGCGGCGCTTGCCAGGGGATTTCTGCTGTGATTCCACAAAGGCCTTATATGTCATCAGTTGTAATTCATAGTCCTGGGGAGAGAAGAAATCTCTGTAAGCTGCCCAGCCATTTATTAACAGCCCATGAAAAATGACTGAAAAACAGAGAAAACTTCATTACACCTGAAAATTATATAAACTTCATTATTCAGGGTCCCTGAGTAATGTTCCAGTGTCACATAGCCACCACCTTTCATTACATGTTGTCTGTGGCTGCTTTCACTCACAAAGGCAGAGCTGAACAGCTGCGACAGAGAAAGCATGGCCTGACATCTTCCATCTGGCCCTTTACAGGAAAGTTTGAGAGCTTACAGTCTGCGTGAGCACCAGAAGGCCTCCAACAGGGAAATGCTTTAGTTCTACTGCATGATGGGTGTGAGCTGTGAAGCCCAGTATGAAATAGGTAAGAAATGTATCTGTTGGTAAAAACCAAGTATTTTGCTTTTGACAGCAAGTTTAAGAGGCTATGGATCATACAAAAGGAGCTCCATCAAATCACTGTGGATGTCTGGTACCACTCTGAGCACCCCTAATATTGGGGCCATAAGAAGCACACATCTGCATTAGCTGAAGGATGAGGTCAGCCTCTAGCAGAAGAGCTTTCCTTATTTGGAAGGATGCAGATTTTCCTAAGCTAGAGTTCATTTATGTTCCTTTTGGGATATGTTAGAGTTACCTTTACAATTGTGGAATATTGCTGGGAAAATTTTTGACACTGGTCCAGTTTTGTCTGATTTCTCTCAATTTCTGCAAACAGATCCTAAGAATCAAAATATCACAAAAACATTGGCATTAGCATCATTGAAAGAACAGAGCTTTTATTAGATTCTAAGGTAATGGTTTTCAAATCTTAGCAGTATCAAATCACCTGGAAGGCTAGATAAAAAACAGAAGGTGTGGCCCTAACTCCAGAGTTTCTGTTTCAGTAGGTTTGGGTTTGGGCCTAAGAACCTGCATGTCTAACATGTTTCCAGCAGATGATACTGCTACAGTGGGGTCTACACCATGAAAGTCACTTTTCTAAGTACTTTATATGTGTCAATGAATTTAATCCTAGCAACAGTAACCTTGGGTGAGACGGGTTGAACAAATAATGAGCTATGTCCATTTTACTGATAAAGAAGTAGAAAATTGAGGTTCAGTCATTTTCTCAAGTTCTCACAGTAAGTGGGCAAGCCAGGACTAGAGTCCAGGCAATCCAATTCCAGAATTCACACTCTTAATCACAAGGCTTGACAAAATAAAGAGCACACCCCAAAACACCAAATAGAAGCTGTTTTGAATAAAATAATTTTTTTCATTCACAACTTTCCCTGAGTTTTCACTCTACCATATTATAATCCTAGTAAAATAAAATGTAACATCAGAAACAGAATAAAGTAAGATAATTTTAAATAGTCCAGCTCATGATTTCAATACACAGTCACAGAAACTCAGCATGAGAAAACATCCTGCAGGCAAGGCATCTGGCAAAATGCAAACCACACCTGGTTGAACCCTTTTCAGAAAAGGGGGCTCGGAATGTTTAGCCATTTGGGGAAGTTTAATAGCCAGGATATCATCTTTTAAGATGACTAACTCCCCCTCCAACCTCACCATGCACTACCATACCCACCGTCTGCTGGCTGAGCTGCTCCGACAGCACTCTGCTGTCCTCAGCCTGGCCCGGCTTCATCATTTCCTGCTGTGCAGTGGTCTCCTCTATCCACTTGATGAGCGTTTCATGGCAGGCCCGGTAATCTCCTAGAACTTCCTGGATACTTTCTAACTCAGATTGGCTGGAGGAGCAAAGGGAAATGGCTCTCAAGTATCTTGGTATGAATATGAGAAAGTGAGTGGGGCAATTCCCTCCTTAACCCATGGCTCCAGTTGGACTTAATCACAGAAAATAAATCTTTATTTGGGGGAAAGAGTGGGTAACATTGAATAAGACCTAAACATATAGCCAGTGCCCTATGGGGTGAAGAGTGAGTTGAGACTAGTTGTGCTCTGTCCTGGAAGCCGCCATGTGGCCTGGCATCCTGTGATAGTCCCTGTCCAGTGTTTCACTTAGATCTGGTGGATCACTGGGCTTGCCAAGCAGGTTATGCTGGTCACCCTGTGACCAATGACAGGGTGCCGGCCGGGGTACCAGAGCCACAATTTACAAGTGACTCTAACTTTTGGAGGAAGCAAGAAGTGGGGATGAGGAGGGTGAAAAAAGGTAGTTATATATTGGTAACTTCAACAATAGTTTCTTAAACCACTCTGTTAGTTTGACCAACCCTGGCATAGAAACCGAAGCATAGAGAATTGATCCAAAATTATAGGAGTTGTTGTAATCCCTTTTCCTATTTATTTGCTATCCAATCTCGTTTCAGAAAGGCAGTTTCCTGCTTTCCTATTCAAATCACTCACAGAAGCAGGCTCGAGTAACAGAGATAGAAACCATTGAAATAGCATATGAAAGTGGAAGCAATACTGCAAAGCTCCATTACAAAGAATGGCTCACATTCTGATTCAGAGCTATTAAAGCAAGAATTAGAACTCAGGTTCTCCCTCAAAGATCAAAGGGGCCCTTTCCTATGTGTATTCTAAGAGGTCACTGTCATCAAGGCTGAAGTAGGTAAGCCCTGGAATGCAGGAGAGGCTTCACTAACAAGATCATCTCTGCTACCCGAAAGCTAGTCTCGGATCTGCTTTGGGGTTGTGTGCCCAAGTTTCTGTTGCTTATCTTGACCAAAATTTATACTGTCATTTAATTTCTATTCCTCTCTATCAATTCCCGTTTTTATACAAGAATATATAGACCCAACTCTTATTTTGGCTTAAAATCTAGTCCCTGGACCCTAGTGAGAGGAAAGGGTAGAACCACCACTCACCGGGTTTCGAGCTGGGCAATGACCCGGTGCCAACGCTCCTGCAGCTGGGAGCCTTTCTCCTGACAGCGCTCCAAATCCAGGTTTCGTTCTGGGGTCAGACGACTCAGCTGCTCTGCCACTACCTTGGCCTTGGCAATCTCCTCATCCAGGACTGAAAACACCAAATTCTTATCTTTCACATCACTAAGCCAATGCTGTAAAAAACACAAGCATAGCACCAGGTTAAACATACTCCATGCTAAAAATAACTCAGACTAAGGCAGAAAATAAGATGCTGTCTACAGCTGGCTCCATATTATTTCTGTGATTCAGAAGCTAGATACTATAACTCTTGTGCCAGAAATGCCTCCATAGTCCTCATGCACAACAGGGGCCAGGACAGTGCTGAGAGCTGTGTACAGTAGTGTCTGAAGCCTGGCACCACAGCTAGCAAGCTGTGAAACCAAGGTAAGTTGTTTAATCTCTCTCAATCTGTAACAGAAATAAAGATCTTTTTCATATCTACCTGTCAGAGTTTCTTGTGAGAACCAAATAATATAACATAGCTAAGTGATTAATAAACTTACAGTATAACCGCTGACTATAGCCTATTAGGCCATAATGTAATAGGAAAAGGGAGGAAAATAATAGTGTTTTCTTTCGTTACTTGGTATTTCTCAATCCGTTCTTTAAATTCATACTGAAATATTTTAAATATGACATTCCTCCTGGTTCAAATGCAAACTTAAACTGGTATCATGTCATCCAAAATTGCAGCACTTTGCTAACCCAAAGCAAATGGATATGTTAAGGCAACCTCCTAAAAATCTTGGCACAACCAACCCTTAATGTCGACCGATGGGACTCCAGAGCTGAGAGATCTGCTGGCACTGCTTCTTCCTGACTCAGCTTGATTTCATAACCTTTCACCAAGAGTTCAGCATCCTGCATGCTACGCACTATAACATCAATTGTCTTCAGCCTGTGAGGATAAAATTGCCTTCATTAACACCTGCATTTTCAGAGCTGGGCAGCATATCTGCAGCACAGGAAGGTGGTTCACAAAACCTAAAGGCCACAATCAAGTCCACATTACTAGAAGATGACAGGGTTTCCTGAAAACAAGACAGTGTGATGTGTGCTGCCAATTTAATGCAATTCAAAATAAAGCTCTGTGTGGCACTGGGACACCCAGATGTGTGATGAACTCATGGGAGAAAAGACACGAGGCCAGAAACCCACTCAAGTCTGTGAAGAGTCAAGATCTGTTACTTCTCAAGGTGATGGGTGGGTTGAAGGGAGACCTTCAAGGACGAACATTTAGTTTGGCTGAACACTTTTCTTTTCATTGTTTAATGTTCCTTTCTCTTTCCTCCCCTCCACCCCAGAACTATCTAATCAAACAGAAATGAGGTATAAAACCATCCCAACACTGCTAATCATCTCCCCGTCTGCACTGACATTTGGTCATTGCAGCCCAAATGAACTCGCTCCATGTTACCTGGAACTAAGATCAAGATCTTGTTATGTGTTCTTCAGGAGCTTTATGCTCTGGATTATCATGAAACACTTTAGGCACTTCCCATTCTCTTCCCAGTGGAAAATCTTGCCCTTTGGACCCAAATCCTCACTTACTTATTCAGATAGACAGTGGAGAGACTGTAAACACGGTCCATCTTCTCCACCAGCAGACTGAGCTCTGAGCGCAGAGCTGGTACACTCGAACCGGATGGGGACTGATGGAGAAAGCTGTTGCATTTCATGGAAACAGCATCCAAGTCTGACCTCAGCTGCTGTAAATCCTCCTGGGTGTGCTGTCAGGAACAAGACACACAACAAAGATGGAGACAGAGCTGAACAAAGAAGTTCTTATTTGCAATAGCAAAATACTGAAAACCACCAAAATGCTCACATATAGGAAGAGAAGTGGGTGAATAAATTATGACATGGCATTGAAGGGGCAAGAAGGAAAAACACACATGTAATTTCTGAACACAGCATCTGGACGAGAGACAGACCTTCAGGCTAAAGACAGAAAGTAGTATTAGTAACTGCTGCACTCCAGGTTTGTTTTTGTAGTAATATGAGTTAGCAGCAGCTTGAGGGGATCCCAATGGCTAAATAAGGGAAAATTTGAACATCAAAATAAAGATAGTGGCAACTGAATAAAAAAAGAATCCATAAGCCCATACTGATAAAAAAAAAAAAAATGAATGAATGGAGGGTAAGAGAAAAACTATTTCCTTTTAAGATAATGGAAATTTGAAAATATAAAAATGACAGATTTAGGAAAATTATCTCTTGGCAAGTCATACTAATAATGAATTCAGTCAAAAATCAACAATAGAGGCTAAAACTAGTTGGTGAAAATCTGATGTGAAACAGTGTATATACACAGTTCCAAAAGTATCTCCCCACAAAGCACTTAGTAATTACAAAGGGGAAAATAGCAACAAGTGATAAAAGTTGTCTGTAGCAAACAGACAAATCAATGTGTCAAGCCTTCTGATATGCTGTACCAAGGACACAGTATCACTTCAGTGGCATTCCTGCCCAAAATGTGTGTCTATATCTTATCACAAAGAAGCCTCAGATGAACACAAATAGACAGTCCACAAGACTAATGGCCTGCACTTTTCAAATATGTTGGGCCAAGAAAGATGATAAAAAAAAATCAAGAGGGCCTCCCTGGTGGCGCAGCGGTTGAGCACTGGGTTGCGAAGCTGCCCGCAGCCTCTGCAGCGCCGGTTTGATCCCCGGCTGCTCCCCGGCCACCAGAGGAGGGTCCCACATGGCGCTCAGACCTCTCCTGCTGCCCGCTGCTCCCCTCAGCAGTGTACCTCAGTCCTTCTGCCTGCTCTGCTCCCTGCTCTGGCTCTGGTGAATTCTCTCACCCTCCCGCGCTTCTGCCTGTACCCAGTGCTTGTTTAAATAAATAAAATAAATAAATAAAGATAAATCTTAAAAAAAAAATCAAGGAACTGTTAGGTTAAAGAAACCGAAAGAGACATAGCAACTAAGTGCCATGCGTGATAGTGGATTGAATCTTGTGTCAAAAATATTCTTTGGGGGGAATTATTAAGTCAACTGATGGAATTTTAATTTTAATAAGGTTTTTGATAACTATGACATTATCAATGATCACTTCCTGATTTAAATCATTGTTCCATGATTATGTACAGGATTACCCTTGTTTTTTGGAAACCCATACTGAACAAAGTATTTAGGGGTAAAGGAACATCATGGCTGGCACTTATTCTCAATAAAGAAAAGATTATTATGTATACATATTTAGAAGAAAATGATGAAGCAAATGCAGAAGAATGTTAACATTTGGGGAATCTAGGCAAAGAATAAAAACTTCTATATACTGAAACTATTTCAAAATAAAAGCTTTAAAAACTTTTAAACTTTACAGCAACTCAGTATTTACCTTTATTTCTTAGTATATTTTATTTTGCAGGGAAAAAACAGATTTTGGATGACTCCAGAGGAAAAAAAAAAGCCTTAAGATGACAATTACAGATTAATAAGATATGCCTCAAGCCAGCATATTAGATCTCTCTCCACCACTGAGAGTGCTCTCCCTCATCCTCATCTCCAGGCTTAGGAATAACTGAGAAAGCTGAAGAAAATCACTTTCTCATTATCATTCCTTTCCAGTTTCTTTAAGCTCACCAATTAAATCTAACATTCTTCACAGAGCCTTTTCACGCCATCCCAAGTAGAAATGTTCTAGTAACACTTGAAATTCCTACAGCAGTGTTTGCTTAGAAATCTGGAAATACAATAGGTAACTATCTTACAGCATCCCTTATACTAAGGTCTGTCATTGTGACATCAACCTTATCTTCTTTAGCTATACTATAAGCAAAACAAGGGCTTTTGCTTTGCATGCCTATGAGCACTTAACAAAGCAATTAATAATGACTGCTTTTAGTTCAAGAATATGATCCCCCATTTCTCCAGCATTGTACTTTTCCAACACTGTTCATTATATGTACTCTATCACTTAATTTTCAAAACAATTCTGTGTCTCACACCACCATTTTATAAGAAAGGAAACTAAGATTGAAAGTCACAGAGAGAGTGTGCAACAGAGCCCACAGTAGAGCCGAGACTTCCCTTCCAATTTTTTGAATCCTGTGACTAATGGTAGCATGTCATAGAAAATAACGCATACACATAAGAGACAGAGAGCAGCATCTCTCCGAAGCAGTCTTAAAATGTATAGTCTAATGCAGTGCTAAGTCTGTTTGTCCTCCCAACCGTGTAGGAAACTAACTTTCAGCAGTACACTGGGAGCTGAACTCATGTCTTTTCCATTTACAGGCTGCAGGGAAGAACTCTTGTATAGAAATGCCATGAATTTATTACCTATTCCTTGGGATCCATACTCTCTCGCCATCCAAAATTCATTCTGCAAGTATTTACTCTGCAACCAGCACCCACCTTGCTCCTAGGGCTTACCTCTTGCTCTGCAATCCTTAGTGCACTGTCCTGCCGAACATCTTGGTCAGTCCTAAAACTGGCTGTGGACTGAATTCGTTTGACCAGCCTCTGTTCACAGTCCTCCAGGCGCAGTCGGATATTCTTTAGCTCTGAAATGTATAGCTTGGCCACAGTTTCTTCTTTGTCCTCTGTGAATGCACAAGCACGGTAGACCATAAAGCATCACAACAAAAACCAGCAAATCTGGGAACAAGAGATTCAACCTCAGAGTGTTCCAGACTAGTTCTAGGAGACCTGATGTTGCATGAATGGAAACCAAGGCCTTACATGGGGACTTTATTGCCTGACCTTAAATTCTCTGCATTATATACTGGTCTTTAGGGACCCAAGCAAGTTATTTCCACATGACAATGTTATCAGTTGATTAGCAATAATCTGATTTTGAGAATTCATCTCAATACATTTTTGCCTCTCACGAGTTTTTAGCCATCCAAATGGTAAAGAGCAATTCATAACTGTAGTTTATAAGAAGGCTCTGGGAACACCCTTCAGAGTTCTTGTTCCACCAGTCCTCTCTGTTTTCCCCAGGCACACACCATTCTCCATGGACTTCATCAGGTGCTGGAAGTGGGTTTTACAAGCCTCCACCTCCTCTTCCAAGCGCAAACGGTCAGTCACTGAGAAAAGCACAGAGTCACGGCTGTCCTGCAGAAAGTCTTCATAGTGGGCCTGGAGGTTCTTCATAACTTGGTGGCACTCTTCTGGTGCTGAAGAGCGAAGCTAGAGAGAAAGCCAGAAGAAATTTCAGTAAGTAGGGAATACAGTCATTTCCCTCTCCTTTTTATTGAGGTTGAACATTTACACAAAACAGTCACAACACCAACTAGAAACATGCTGATATTTTTTAAGTTGAATTTGTCCATGTAAATAGCATCAGATCAAGCACCAGAACATCACTAGCCACAGAAGCACCCTCTGTGCCCTCTTGGACATAAGGGTGAATGCACTTGTATTCCCTTGTGTAAAAAACCTCTGCCAAAAAACCCAAGCGTGTTATTTTTGTTCATCAGGAATTTCCTTAACCATTCAGGCTACTGTTTCTAGTTCCTACGGCCCTCAGGCACCTAGCCCTGAAACTGGTCATACTAATGGGAAAAAGTTCCTTCTGAAAGAAGTTTGCCAGTAGGATGTGAGCCTGGGGTTAAGCTTTCACAATTACCTTGTCCAGGTTCCAGGTCTTTACAAGGTCAAGGTCCTTCCTCAAATAGTTCCAGGAGATAAGGCTTTTGGTGTTAATGTGTAGCTGATGCCAAAGGGCCATCACTTTCTGGTAAGACTGTTCCACCCTAGAAACAAAGAGAACCTGGTTATCAGCTTTTTGTAAGACCTGAAGATCCATGTTACAGATCTTCTAAGGAAACAATGTGATTTCCTTAGCAGAACAAGCTTATATGCTGAGCGGAGAAAGGCAACAAGTAAAATACTAACAACACAGAAATCTTTAGAACTAACTTAACTTAGATCTTCAAACAATTTGGATTTGTTTCAGTATTATGCAAATTATGTCAGCATATACTCAGCAATCCTATAAATGTTACCTGAATATAATGTGATTATGAGACATTAGAGGAGGAAATACCCAGCAAAAGTAAAAACAGAGAAAAGTGGAGATAAAATGCTAAAAAATGACAATATCAACACCTGATTTGTTGTGTTCTACATATTACAAAACTATAAAATGTATAAATTTAATAGCAACTAGGTTCATTTGGCATAGAAAAGGAACCGATGTTGAAGAGCATATGAGGATTTTTTTCTTAATTCAATTTCAAGTTTCTGTAAGATTTACAAACTCACAGATACTCAGAATATTCGGTACACACATTATCTTAAATTTCAAGCTGAAAAACTTGAGATATGAAGAATTAGATAGAAAACTAGAAGTCAGGACCTCAGTTAATAATAGACATTAAACTCACTAGTTTGTCATCCCTCTTTCCAGAAATCCCACTAAAAATTTCAGTAAAGTTGAAATAAAAAGTTGGAAATAGATGACTCTGGAAAGTACAACTGTAGGTTGAGGGAAGTAATTGCTAGTTTTTTACTATAAGCTTTGTGGTAAAATAAGCTTCGCATAAAAGCATGTACATATGTTACTTTAATAAAATATAAATTGAAGAAAATTAAAAGTAACAATAAAAAACCAATCATCTGAGAGTGAACTGTTTATAATTTTAAAAAAAATCACTGAACTATCTCAATTGAACATAGCATTTACGTGCAAGACTTGACAGCCTAAAAGAAAGTCTTTCCCAAAAGAAACTTGAAAACTTCAAGATCACAATACAGATCCATCCCTTGTCAGTTCATCCAGACCAAGGAGCAGAGGCGGCAGTACAGAGTGGGAGCTGAGCAAAGTTACCTGCTGGCCATCTCAATGGCTTCCTTATTAGGTGAGGGGATGAGGAAACAGACCGATGGCACCATTGCCTCATTTCCTGTGGGGCTGATCACTTTCCATTTGGTCCTCTGTGAATTGTCTTCCAGCACACACTCATCATTCTTGCAAATAGTGATCTGAAAAGACAAATTCACAAGTTACTGCCAATAGATAAACCAATAATCCATTATTACCTGGTGCTTGATCCCAAAGCTATGCAATCCCTATGAAAAAGTTTCATTTTGGAGATCTGGCATCACTTAGTTAAGAGTGCCTGACTGTGATAAAAGGATTAACAACTATAAATACACAACACAGAAAAGGTGGTGATAGCAAATAAATCAAAGAAGTGTTTGTTAAATGCCTGTTACATGACAAGTAACTCAGTATATGAGTTATACAGGGGCCACCCTTGGAGGCGCAGCGGTTGAGCGCTGGGCTGCAAGGCTGCCCGCAGCCTCTGCAGTGCCGGTTCGATCCCCGGCTGCCGGCGAGGATCCCAAATGGTGCGACAGACTTCTCCTGCCAAGCCCGCTGCTCCTCTCAGCAGTGTATTTCAGTCAGTCTGCCTGTTCTGCTCCCCGCTCTGTCTCTGGTGAATCCTCTCACCCTCCCACGCTTCTGACTGTACCCAGTGCTTGTATAAATAAATAAATAAATAAATAAATAAATAAATAAATAAATAAATAAATAAATAAATAAATCTTTAAAAAAAAAGAATAAAAAATAAATTAATTAAAAAAAAAAAAGAAGAAGAAGGTTATACAGTAAGACCTCTAACGCCAAGGGCAATTTCTCTGCACCCACAACTACTGGGGCAAAACTGAAAGGGAGAGGGGTGATCATAGCTTTTCTTTTGTGGTACTTCCTCCTCCCTTCCTGTTCTCCCACCCAAATCCCTGAAAATGTTTAAGGATTCTGAAATCATCCACACTCTCTCTTGGGAGACAAGTAATTAACATTAATACCCCTATTTTATAGACAGAAATACTGAGACACAGGAAAGTGCAGAAGAAATTCATTCATTCTTGTATATAACAAATCATTACTTTGCCCTCTATGCATCTGGAATTGTGCTAGGTCGCTGGAGATAAAAATGGTAGGGTGTAAGCTGACAGATGTGGTGTGTGTTCCACATATTCTCATGGGATCTACAGTTACAATCCTGTGTGACAAGTGCAAATTACCAGGAACTGTGTGAAAGAACATGACACAGTCTTAGAGAGGTAAAGAAAGGTTATTTAGGACCTTGAAGTCATATTAATATAAGAATTTCTAAACAGAAGTGGAAACTGAAGTAGAGGTATGACATCTCTTTAAAATATCGCACTGGTGGCAGGACAAAGAATGCATCGAATGAAGAGGCTGATGCAATGATACAAGTGAAACTTCCAGTGTAATTTAGGGTAGTAGCAGCAGGGACAGAAAATCATATCTGGAGGACATTTATTTACAAGTAGTACCAGCTTGACAGTTGCATTTGCTATGAGAGATATGAGGGGACTGGTCATGGGTATCTCCCAGGCACTACAAGGTACCATTTCTGCAAACACATAGGCAGTTAGATGGAGGATGACACCAACCTCTAGTTAAGGAGCAAGTCAAGACTGTAGAGTTGTTACTTTTTTAAAGGATGGGAGGGATCTGAAGCATGTTTAAATTTTAATTAAAAAACAAACAAAAAATGACTATTATTTGATCTTTCCTTATTATCCTAACAATAGCTGAAATTTGCTCTTTTCCCTTCCTTCCCTCTGGAGCCAGAGGTACCAACTCTGCCTCCTCACCTCAATTTGCCGATAGTCACAGATGGCCTTCACAGAGATGGTGCTCTTCAGCACATGGTCAGGATTTCGTGGCTTTAGCTGAACAATGGTTTTTGATCTCCCAACAAGACTGGCAACTGAACTCTTGGACTGTATAAGCTGCTCCTTTTCATCCTACAAAATGAGAAGAAAAACAGACATTAATGTTGTTACTCAGGGTGACGAAGTCAACAAAGAAAGCTGAGCACTCCACTCCCTCAGAGAATGTCACTTCTCAGTTAAGTAGGGATCCTTGGTGGAGCCATCTTAGAAACACAGGGGAAAAAGAAAAAGGAGAGGATGTTTCGGTTTCTACCAAGTGCTTCTGTACTCAAAATTGCAGCTTTCTCCCTGTGCCCTTTGCAATGAGCCATAAAGCCACATGCAACAAACAAACAAAAACATAAAACAAAAAAGAACTTCTAGCTGCCAAATACAGCTCACAAAGGATTTCCCCAAATAAGGTTCTGAGGACATGGAAGTTAAAAGCAATAATAATAACAACTAAGTTGCTGTTATTATTATGATTTAATTTCTCACTGGTAGAAGCCAGTTATGCCTTCTGCTTAGGAGAAGACAGAATTATGCTCTTTAAAATTTTTACCTCCCAAGCTCTACTACAAATATTTCACTTTCTTAAATTGAGTCTCACTTTCTACATACAGATCTTAGTATTTGTCTATAAACCAATGTTGTTGGTGAAGGCATCATGGCAAAGGACATACCTTTTAGTGCCCTCTTGTGCCATTCTCATGTAAATTTGATTGCTTTGAAAGAAGTACCATACAAAATTGAAACTCCAGTTTCTGCAAACCCAATTACCTTAAAAACTAAGGAACTTCTTGTCAACAAAATTGGTAGCAATCGACTACCAATTCCATTAGAGAGTAAAAGATAGATAACTTTTATCGATTAACATTTATCTGTTATCTAGGATATTTCAAGCCCATTTTAAGATATAAAGTTCCCAGAAGAGGGTTTTCTTAGGATGGAAGTAGATGTGATGAGGGTAAAGAGTTAATAATGTTAAGAAATGCCATTAAAGAATAAAGAATATGCAAGTAAAGAGAAAGAAATGCTTAAACAAACTACCTGTGCCTGTCCCCGGGAGCATGATTGGAAGAAATACAACTTTAACTTGTTAGTTAAGAAAGAGAAATGGAATCTACCAGGGAGACAGCCTCCCTTGTTCCATACTTGACAGCTGGTCTGCCCGTTTTGCTTTCCTTGCAATAAAGATGTCCGTTTCTGTCTAACCCATAGCCAAACATCTCAAACTCCAGAGATCAAATGTTCAGCGTGGTAAAAGTTCTGAAAAGAACCAGAAGCCAGGACAGATGCTCCAGAACCTGACGGGCAAGCTGAGGACAAGCTGAGGAGTAGACCCAGGTGACTCCATGCCCCGATGACGCCGCCAACCCGGTGCCCCTGACCTGGAGAGGAGGGAACAGAGCAGCGACCCTCGAGAAGAGAAGATAGGACAACAATTGCAGAGCAGTTACCCTAGGGCAAGGAGGCACTCTGCAGGAAGGAGGAGATAATAAGCCAGGGATTATTACATTCCTCCTTCATATTTGAAGTACCTCCAAGAAAGACACTCTAGAAAACATCTAGAAAACACTCAGAGAAAACATCTGAAAAGTCAGGCTTTTATCCTTTATTTCCATATTGATTAATTAACAGATTATTTGCCCAGATGAAATACTAAATATAAACCCATTCACAGACTTACAGTATCTGGAAGCACAATAAAAATTTAAAATTCAGTTAATGTTCACATACGCCCAAATTTCACCCATGAAAAAAGTGATACTGCTTTTGGTTCTCTCATTTGCAATTTTCTATTGAAATGTGAGAACCCCCTGGCTTCTCTTATAGGAAAAGTATTATATACATATTTCTCTCTTAATTTGAGGTGTAGCTTTGAGCCCTGTTTTGCCAATTCTGTAATATACATTTAATAAGTAAGTAGTCCTACTTTATTACCAGCACTCCTGAAGGAATAACTCATTGGAGAAAATGAATGTAAAATTGATTTGGATTAAATAGTAGATACAAAACTAATTTTTAAAAGTTAATATTGCTACATAAATACAAATACTATATCTAAATAAATTTCTCTTTGCATGAGAGTAAAAAAGAATTTAGTGCCAGCTTATCCCCTTCTGCCCTATTTTTCATACTCTACACCTCAGTTTGGGTCCCAAAAATTGAATTAAAATAGGTCCACAGAGAAAGCTCAATGAGCACTGAGTGGCTCAGGGGAGAGGACTAGGCCTTTACTTCAATAGCAAACCCCAAGGAATCTTACTATCCACTTCTTTCAGGAAAGAAAAGGAAAAAGACAGAACAAACTACACTCTATTTGAGTATTAGGCAAACTTTACAGTAATGACCCTCTGCCTGGAGCTTTCAAGGATATAAAGAGCAGCAGCTGGTACGGTTTACTCTTTTCTCAGAAGTAATCATCCCACCGATGCAACACCCACCATGGAGTCCTGGAGCAGGTCCTCAAGGCGGGACAAGCTGGTGCTGTGGTCACAGGAATATTTTCGTTTGATGGAGTCTTGGAGGTTCCTCAAGAATGACTCCAGGTCACGAGCATCACTGAAGAACTGTGGGGATTGAATGGGAGCCACGATGTTAACTGAGGAAAGCAGTCGTACCGTGCAGAGCTGAGCAAAGCTGGACCACACTGGGCTGGGTCTGTGCCATTCATTATGAAGACGAGGCTTAGACAGCCATGTCAGGGCTGGATGAGGCCACAGAGCCCAGGAAGCAGAGAGGACAGTGGGCTTTGAGCCCCCAGAAGTCACTGCTCACTCCTCTTGACTTCTATCTACTGATAGATATTTCATGGCAAGTCCAGAGGCGGAGTGATCAAATGTTTCCATTCATAGATATGATCACAAAATGACCAAGGAGATTATTTAACTTATGGTAAAACCATGGTTAGTTTTTTCTCTTAATGCCCTCACCTGAAAACAAGCAGTACTTTCTACATATTATGAGAGAGCAAAGGGAAAAAGTGACAGTTTCTCCTATCAAGGGATGGGAGTCTATTCCTCCTCCTCTGAAACTGAGCTGGGGACATGCCTGACTTTGGTGAATGAATGTGACAGAGAGAAAAGAGTGCTTGTGCACTAAGGCTTATCCCCTCTTGCTGCTTGTGGGAACATGTCTGCTCTGTGAAGCCTACTGGGTGCTGGAGACTTGTACAAGGATGTGCGGCCCATCAACCCAGCCACCTGTCAGACATGTCAGGGATGCCATTTTGGACCAACCAGGCCCGAGCCTGCATGCCAGCTGCCTACAGCCAGGAGTAAACCAGGTAAGATGAGGAAAAACATGCAGCTGAGCATGACCCAAACTGCCCACCCACAGAATCATGAATTAACTAAGTGACTATTATTTTAAGTAACCCAGTTTTAGAGCAGTGATCTATACAGTGAAAGCTAAGTGATAAAGATATGCTTTCAACCTCATCTTTCCCATGTATGTATGCACGCATGTGCACGCACACACACACAGTCTCTTTCCTGATGAAAAAGGGTATTCTCCTTCTCCTCTCTGATGCACAGTCATACTCACACACAGATACACAAACATGACGTCCACACACCTGAAAGTAAGCAGTATTCTCTTTCACATGCTGCTCAACACACAAGCACAGCTGCTTCATCCACTGCAGTTGGGACTGGACAGCTGCACTGTAAGCCTGCAACACAAAGGGCATAAGAAGGTCAATACATATGTGCAAGGACTCAATGTGTATGTGCAAAGCTCTCTTCCAAGTGCTAATTCCCACGCAACTGCTAACAATAGAGGCCAAAAGAAGACACAGAGAAATGTGACTGGCATGTGCTCACTGCTTCCCATGAGGAAGAGGCTTGTCTTCTACCCAATGTGGTTTTGTTAAAAAGAGTTATACAGAAAAAGAAAAAAAAAAAAAAAGAGTTATATAGAAATGCCTCTTCCACACTCAGCTGCAAGTGAATGATCTGTTTGGCAGAACCCAGACATAAATAAATCCCCCTGGATTACTCTACTCTGTCTCTTCTCTTGGCAAAGGCAGGATCTGTGTGGATAATTATTTGACAAAAAATATGGTGCAAGTCACCTTCCCCAAGAAGTCAGCAGTGACTATTCCTGTTTCCCCTAGTATTCTGCTCAGGCTATCAAAATTGTTGTTGTCTTTTGGAAAAGAACCAAAAATCCTGGCACTTTCTCCAGGTCTTTCTGCAGCACAGAGTCTATGATTTCAACACTTTGCTAAGAGCATCCTCTGAGCACTTGGCTTGCACACCTTGTCAAGGGACTTACCTCCACTGTCTGCTTGGCAGGGTGATTCTCAAGGGACAGCAGTTCTGCTGTATCTTGTAGAGATCGAAACACATCCTGTTTCTCCTCCAGTTCCATTGTCAACTCCTGAAAATTGAATTCAATTTTATGCAGTAAGTGCTACTAAGGGAGAAGAAGCAATAAAGAAAAAACTGTCACCTGTCCTACTTTAATTTAAAGTCACCTACACCAAAGTTAATACCAAAATAAGATGTTGGAGTACATGCCAGAGGATTTCAGAGAAGAGCAAAAATGCTAAAATTCCTGGGGAATGACTCTCAAAGGACATGGAAGCTGAGCCAGACCTCAGTGAAGGGACACAGGATGAACACTGGAGGCAGAGAAAGGAGCTGCCTTGGCTGAAGTGGCGAGTTTCGTTTCAGGGCCTAACACAGTACCTGACAGGCCGGCAGGTCCACTTCACTACTGGCCACGTTGCTCAGCCTATTCCCTCAGCTTGCAGTGCCCTCCACTGGCACTAAGTTCTATTAATACTACAGGACCTAATTTAGATGCCAGCTCTTCCGTGAAGCTGGGTAAGATCCTTACTATCAAATCTGACCCCTTCTCCTTGATGCTCTCTGAGCAATTTTTTCATATTTCTATCAGAGTCTAATTTCCATCCTCACAGAGACTGTTTATTGCCTTATCATATCTATTCTTTCTTCCTTACTTCAGAAGAATCATATACCATTCCCTAATCAGGAGAAGCTTTAACATTTTCAATCACTCTGAATTAATGGAATTAAAGTGTCTAAAGCATCAGGATAAAAAAGGCTTCCTAATTGCACAAGGGTTATAAAAATCCTTAAAAGTTCTCTGGGCTGTGAAAATACTAAAAAATAACCCTACTTAAATATATCTTTCATTAGAAAGAATAAAAAGTATTATATCATTATCCAATGCTGAATTTTCCTTTCCATTTTATAAATGAAGGTTTTGATAAAAAAAAAATTATTCAACCAAGAGAATCAGAATTTATGAGAAGCCAAAAGTATGCCTCAGTTAAACATACTATACTCTAAACTAAGAGTTTTGCTATACTAGCTTATTAATCTTACTTAATCTTTTATATAACTCTTTGAAGTACCATTATCCCATTTTACAAAGGTCCAGAGAGATTACATGACTTGCTCAAGGTCACAGAGCTGGTAATGGAGAAACAAGAATTTGTATTTGTGTCTATCTCATTTCAAAGCCTGTAATCTTTTTTTTTTTTTTTTTTTTAAGATTTATTTACTTATACAAGAACTGGGGTATAGGCCAGAGGTGCAGGAGGGTGAGAGGATTCACCAGAGACAGAGCGGGGAGCAGAACAGGCAGATGACTGAGAACACTGCTGAGGGTGTGCAGTGGGCGAGACAGGAGAGGTCTGCCCTGCCATGTGGGAATCTCTCTGGCCGGCCGGGATTGGACCCACACTGCAGAGGCTGCGGACAGCTTCACAGCGCTGCGCTCAACCCACTGCACCACCGGGGAGGCTCCAAAGCCTGTAATCTTAACCACAGAGCTATAGTGCTTCAGAAATGAATCGATTTGCAGGCTGCTTCTCTTCACCCAAGACACTGCCTTTCTAAATGCATTCTAAATAAATTGACTTTAGGAGCCAGTTTCCCATATATACTTCTCACACACAGAGGCGCATGAAGCAGGAACCCTATTTCTACCTAGCAGAATGTAACTCCAGAAACCCAAGCTCTCAGCAGACCAGCCCCACCGTCCCCTCTGCTGCTAGCACATAAATATGTCAGGCTCATTGTATTAGACTCACAGAGAAGTAATTTCTTTTGGCTGAGATATTAGGATTGTTGTCACTCCAGTCATAGGCCAGTTCTTCCTCCTCTTTCTCATTCAACCAGATCAACTCAGTTGTAGCTCTGGAGACAAATTTATGCAGGCTCTGAAGGTGCCTCATCCGGAAGCTAGAAGTTTCCTAGACAAAGCAAGAGTTGTGGGGTTAGACTGTCTTTCATCTGTATAGTGCATTTGACATCAAAACAAAGAATAAGTCAGGGAATAAATCTAGTCTGGCTTTAATCTCTGGGTGTTTCTCCATGGACTCAAATTTTGTACACATTTGGTAAAGGACTCCCAGAGCCATTGTCAATCCTGGCTTGAAGTTAGAACTCACCAGGCCCCTGGTAGGGTTCCCTGGATAAAGAATGATTCTGGACCTGTTTTAATCCAGACAATCTTCAAAGACAGGAATAGAGGATGACAGATAGAAAAGGAATCCCCCTTCCTTCTCAATCTCAAGCTTTTAATATTTTTTTTTTTCCCCAAAGCATATAAAGCTGCTACTTTGGCAAATCATGGTAGCTCAGATAAGCTAAACTTACTCAAAACTTTCTGTGACAGTGATTTCTGATCCATTAGAAATTTTGAGAAAATGTCAAAGAACAATTGCACAGTACATGACATAACCTAGTAAACAGAAAAACTTAACAGAGCCAACCACAAGCTCTCTGATTTATAGCAGTAAGTTGTTTGAAGGGAATGGTATTTTCCATGAACATAACGCAGAGAATTAGTCAAAACTCACCTTCAGTTTACAATATTGTGTCTCCAGCTTTCCAAGAGTTTCAACATAACTAGTATGGAAATTTTGAGACATTTTTCCCTGGTAAGAAAGGAACGAAAAAAAATTAGAAAAAGAGTAAGTGAACTATATATATATATATATATATATATATATATATATATATATATATATATATATATATATATATAGACAGAGAGAGAGAGAGAGAGAGAGAGAGAGAGAGAGAGAGTATGGTTTTACCTATGTAAATATTTTACCTGCATACAGGCTGGGACTGGTTACTCTGAGAAAACAGAAGCTTAGGCATCAAATGTCTGGGTCTAATTTTATAGCTTCAAACAAAACTGAGTGTGGATCCATTGAACAGGGTGAACATAGCTGACAGGCCTCAATCCAGTAATTCTAGGAGGTTCTAAATAGAACCTATGCCTGATGATTCCCAAACCACTCAACTGCTTTTATGAAGAGGAGAATTTAAATGAAAAGTGGGGGTGCAGAACACATGAGGAAGAGAAGAGCATGAGTGAATCATTTCTTTATTACATGCAGAAGGTGAAGTGGAAGAGATGAATTTTTGGAGCAGAGGGCCTGAGTTGGGAAACTACATCCACTAATTATTAATTTTGACCTTAGCTTTCAGTATCATTTTTCTCTTGCAGTAAAAAGAGGTTAATAAAAATATCTTCCTCACAAGATTATTTCAAAGGGCAAGAGGGACACTTTGTGTGAAGAGGGATCTGTGTCAAGTGTTGCTCATGGCTGTCATTCCTTCCTGGAGCCGCTCATCCCTAGGAGGAGGGGCCACCCACTTCACCCTCCCCATGGTAGACCCTGGCACCACACACCTCGTAGAGCCTGGCTTCCTTGACACTGGAGCCCAGCTCTTCCACACTGGCATGGATGTGCTTCTGTGTTTCCAGCTGCAGCTCCACACTAGGCAGGTCACTGCCCCACTCTGCTCGCTCCAGTTTCAACTACAAAAGGGAAAATGCATATAATAATTTACTGCTGAGTTGGCAAAAAAAAAGAAAGACCTTGACCAGAATCAATGTTTGAACAAGGGGGAGTGAGGTCAAGGACTGGGCAAAAGGGCATTTAAACAATCTCCATCATGGCCTCTTACAGGGAGATATGCCATAAACACCCCCAAAGGAGCAGCAGAATAAACCCCACCAACTACAGCAGTAGAGACAGCCTTTTGCTGTTGCTTTAGGGAATAATCCCTGAACTGCCCAGCCAGAACGGTGTTTCCATAGACTGAATATGCTTAACTTTACAATTTACCCTTTGTGGCGTCTCTTCATTTCACAAACAGAATGGACATGTGAAAGAAATATCTGAAAATATGAACCATCATTCATGGCATCGACTATTGGCCAATAAAAGACAAATTTAAAATAGTTTGTCTTTGGATGTTTGTATTTATTGGCATATGGGGAAACCGTTATTAAGGGATGAGAAGTTTTAATACCAAATCCAAAGGTTAGAAGTATGAGAAGCACGATCTCAAACTTGAACCATTAATTATCCTAGAAAACCTGAAAATAGTGCCCACATGGAACTATGAAACACAGCAGCCTTGCTTCCAGCCTTCAGAGATAAGACCAACAACAAAAAGTGAAGAATTGACCCCTCTAGGAAGCATTTTTTTCCCTCCAGGCTTGTGCCTCAGAAGCAGCCTCTTCTCCTTTGCTTTTCCTAATAAACCTGTCCCTTTAAAATGTTTTTTAAAAAAGGCAGCAGAACAATTGACCCCTCTACCAATGAGGAAATTTCAGAAAACAGAGCCGAGAGTTTCTGTAATTTCCCTTCCAGCTTCACTTAGAACGCAGTTAGCTGACGGGAAGAGTTCCCAAAGGGCTTCTAGTTAGAAAGCCTATGCTAGTCAGTGTGAAATTTTGAAGATTTGAGCTGACCCTATCTGTTTAAAATGTAGGAAGGCGGCTTGGTTCCCAGGCAGCATCAATAATTAAGAGGATTCTATAAAAGGGGCAGAGTGGCCGGGCCTTCCTGGACAATGCTGATGGAGCCCGTAAGGCATGGGGCACGGCACAAGCACCTGGAGCACACCCACCTGCATCTCTTCTACCCAAGACAGCAGCTCATACACAAATCGGAGGTTGCCTTCATCTTCAGAGGAGGAGATAGACACAAGTTCAGCCCGAGTCATGGGCTTTCGGAACCAGGAGGTAGAGGAAGAATGGGTTCCCTTCGTCAAGGGTTCCGCCTTCAGGTGAGTAGTGGTTAAAGTAGAGGGTGGCGCCAATTCAAGTGAAGTGAAATGGCCCTTCCGATACAGGTTCGTGCACTCCAGCCGCAGGGTGACCAGTTCATCCTGCAGGCGCATAACTCTGAAATGGAGGGAGAGATTCAAATCTGCACACATTTTTTAAGACATAAAATATTCCTTATCCATTTGACAAGCATGGGGTAAAAATAAAAATGAGATCATATCCAAAGTATTTTGAAAAAGAAAGTGTTATATGAACGCAAGGTGATATTAACATCTTCATCATTCAGAGTTGTCTTTGAGCAAAATGCCCACCTACAGTGTTAATTGTGGGATGGGGGGCGGGGGGAGCAAACCAATACCTGTTTATAAAACTTCTGAGTGGTATAACAGAACAAACCATGAATTAGGGCTCAAAAGACATGGGTCTCAGTCTGGGTTCTTTACAAACCATGTGACTTTGACAACCTCATCCCCTCTGTGGGTTTTGGTTTCCTCCTCTACGAGAGACGCGCTGGGTCACCAGCAGTTCTAAACCAGATGGGGGACCACACCCCTGCAGGTTACTCCAAAATAAGTGAGGGTGCTGTAAGATGCCTCACTGAGTAGGCATTCCTTAGCGACTTAGCTAGGCAGGGCCTACAATAAGGAAGATGTCCTCCACCACAAGAACTTTCCCACCCCAGATACCTACAGCAACCCCAATGAGACAGCAACTGCTAAGATCCAAGGTATAAGATTCAGTGACTGATTCCTAATCCAAAAGGCTCAGAAGTAAACTCACTCTTGTTTGAGCCCTGTGCTCCTCACCTAAAAGCCAGCTCTTCTAGCTGGTAATAATTCTCATCCCGCAGAATCTGGAGGTCCACCTGCAGCTGCCTGATGAGACCTTCACATTCCTGAATGTACATGACGACGTCTGACTCGCACTGCACCGGTTGCCCTGATTCCAGGTGAGCGGCGTCCTGAGAGAGAAAGGGAGAGTCAGAGTGGGAGGACTCCGTGGCTCCCATCCACCAGGGCCGAGGAGCCAGGGGGCCCACCGCAAGGCCAGGAGCAAGGAAGTAACACGGTTGGATCCCTCAGCTGTTAACTTCAACCACCAGAGCACATGGCGAGACGTGGGAAACAGATGACATAAGCAGCGAGACAGAACAGTCAGAGGACTTACAGCCTGCAGTGTATTCTTAGCTAGTGTCAGTTTTTCTTCACAGTTCAAAGCACCGTTCTGGATTTTGTTTGCAATCTGTAGCAGCAGTTCCAGCCTGAAGAAAGATAAAATCCACAGTCAGGACAGGACTCAAAGAGGCCCAGTAGAACACATCAGACCTTCTAGTTCTGGACCCACCTCTCCACGGCAGGGCGGAGGGATTTTTCCCTCTCCAGCATCTCAATGATGAGCTTTCCCCACTCTTCTTCTACATCATTAGGATGATAACCCTGAGGCAGTTTAATGCGGCCAAATTCAATCCACACCTGTAAAACCAGAGACACTCTTAGTTCACAGACACAGACACACCACGGGACCGTGGTATGTGTTCTCTGGACACAGTGTCTTGTGTCCCTACCCAGTCCCTCAGCGGTGCTTCCTGTTCTCTAATAAGAAAAAAACAACTGAATATTGAGCAGCACCTCACCTTGAGGTGAGAATAGAAAAATCACCTCTAAAATACAGGGACTACCTGTTCTAAATCCTTTGATTCCACCCACATTTTACTTAAATGCAGTCCTGTCAATAACCCTGTTGTGGAATGGTCAAACCCAGCTCTGCGGCTTCTAGTTCTCTGGGAACCAAAATGTAAATGGAAGTCTCTTTTCTTTCCATTTCAGGGAAAGAAATTGTTTCCCTCTGAGAAACAGGAAAATGTGAGATGTCTGAATAAAATGTCTGCCATTTTTTTAATAGGCCCTTTAAAAATATGGCTGGCTCATGCTGCCCCTTTACACAATTGTCAAGACCAGCCTGAGAGTGATGTTAGGTTTGTCACACCCTGAGAGTTTTGCTATTAATGCAGGTGGAGATGAGGACTCGGGGAATCTGTCTAACAAAGAAGGAACAGGGCAAACCAGCAGAGGACATGCTTTCTTACCTCTAACAATTTATATAATTCCTCAATTCTTCCTTTTTCTCTCTCCTTGGCCAGAATTTCTGTTTCTTTGAAGTGTATATATTGGTTATAAAGTGCCTGCAAAATTAACATTTGGTGACTGAATACACACTACCTGGTCCCATTTTTCATATCATCTCAACCAGAAGCCAGCAACAAGTTCTGAAACTTATATCCTAGAATGAATTAATAAAAAAAACCAATTTGACTTTACCTTTAGTTCAACAGGGTTCTGGGGAAAAGATTTATCTGACATCAGTATTGTATGTTGTTTGATCCAGGGAATGAGGGAATCCACTCGGCTTTGGTATTCTTGCCACCTGGAGTCTACTTCCTATTGCCAAAAAGTAGATGTCACATGTCTCTGATTAGCAGTATGCAAAACAATCACTGAGAAAGCAGCGCAGGCCAGCTCAAACCGCATAAAGTACTCTTCCCTCTAATTGCCTAACAGCTGCTCAGTTTAACACTCAGTCCTAGTTTCAAAGCTCCTCAAGGGCTCTCAAGGCAGGATTCAATTTCCTGACTCATAGAACAGTCTATGGTGGACACTACGAAACTAGCCACATCCGGCCTCCTTCCCAGGAACCAAGGACAATGACCATGTATATAAAGATGATGTGGATTTACTTTGCTCTGCACAACAGTGCTCCATCTACAGCGAAGCTGAACAAACATGGTCTGACCATACACTCCACCCAAACAGAGTCAGCAGGTATTTTATGAAAGTGTTCTATTACCGTAGCACTGATCCCTTCTCCACCCTCAGGGACTTTAGGGAAGGCATCATAAATTGAAGACACATAAGTGATTACAGACTTTTCATCTGGAGATGGCACATCCACATCTGAGAGAGAAAGGGTAGGAAATTTCTTAGAACAAAGGGACCTGCCAGAGGAAGGCATGATGACTATATGCCAGATGTGCTCAACTTTGGTCAGTTCTCACCTTCAGCATCCAGTAACCGGGTGACCCCCAGTCTTTCAGCCACTTCGAAAGCCTGTTCCAGATTTTCTCGGTTACTTTGGATCTGTACCCTTTCCATATCTACCAGATCAGGTCTGTAAAAATCCAACAAGGCACATGAAAGGACACCATCTACACATCACATGTGAGGTCACACAGAGTAAACCTTCAAGTACCCAGAGCTGGAAAACACTGAATGAGTTAAAGGGGAAGGCACACAAGGTTACAAATCCCACTTTTAATCACAAACCAGATGCCCACTGCCCCCTAAATCTAACTTACACAACAGCAGGTCTGTTGGATTTCATGGGTAAACTATCATAAACTTGCAGAGTGAGTGAAAATGTGTGTGTTTATGACCACTACGAGGGCAATAAGCTTGATTTTTTTTGTCCCCTGGTGGCACAGGCGGTTGAGTGCAGCACTGTGAAGCTGTCCGTAGCCTCTGGAGTGCCAGTTCAATCCCTGCCACAGCCATGGAGATACCCACATGGCGAGCAGACCTCTCGTCTCGCCCTCTGCTCCCCTCAGCAATGTATTTCAGTCAGTCTGCCTGTTCTGTTCCCCACTCTGTCTTTGGTGGATCCTCTCACCTTCCTGCACATGTGGCCTGTACCCCGATTCTTGTATAAATAAATAAATCTTTTTTTTAAAAAAAAAAAAATTCTATTTCCTCGCTGGTCTCCCTCCAGTCACCTACTGCTCCTCAGCCACTCCAAGCAAGAGCCCATTTCAGGTCCTGTTATGTCCTCCAAAGGAAACACTGATCCTACAGGCCTGCACGGCTCATGGCCTCACCAGAGAGGTCATGTCCATCCACCCTGCCTGAAGCCCAACTCTGCTGCACTCCACCCCTCCACTGGTCTGCCCCGGTATGACAGCACAGCTTTATTTATTGCCTAGAGAGTGGCTAAGCTCCGGGAGAGCAAGAACTTCTGCTGCTTTATTCCCTGCTCCTTGTGCCCAGGGCCTAGAATAATGAGAGTTCGACACATGTTCCTTTTCTAAACGAATCAATCAGAGCCTGAACTGCTGATTGAGGAGAAGAGGTAGCATCATAACTAATTACAAACCAGTGATGAGGAGAAGCACCTCAGGCATACTGAAATGCCACTGTATTTACCGGTATCTGTGAATAAGTGCATTGAACATCTTCCCATCGCTCCAGCAGGAGGAGAAGTTGGTGCATTTAATTCCTGTGTAACCAGCTGTCACCTTCTGGGTCCACAGGAGCAGCTTCTCCTTGGCTGACATGTCTCCTGACTCTCCACTAATGTAGATGTCAGAAATCTGCCAAGAGATGGGACACGGAATGATTTAGTATAAGTGAAATGAGGCCTTTCAACCTTCACTTTTTGATACATTAAGGCTCTTAGAAGTAGAGGGAGAGCTGGCGGCACTTCAAAGAGAGGCTCATTAAAACCCTAAGAGGTCATTTATTCATCTATCAAGTTAGAAAAGTTTTTGTTGTTGTTGTTGTTTTGAATGATACTATCCAGTGTTGGAGAGAATATCTAACGCTGGCTATTCTCATACCTGGGTACAGTTGAAAGCATAAATGACATGACTTCTCTGGATGACTATTTTGAATCAGGAGTCTTAAAATATACAAAACACGATAAACATTATAGCAAAAAGCTAGAATGTAAACTCTAATAAGGGATTACCTGGCTACAAATTATACCACCTACACATGGTAGACTTCTTTGTAGCATTTAAAAAGGTGTGTTTCAGAAAATTTTAATGACAGGGATATGATCATATCTTATAAAAAGAAAAATATGAAAATAACAGAGTAATACTGACTTCTGTATGAGATACAAAATATTTAAATATACACATATACATATATATGCACATAACCTACTTAATGTGACAGATGCATATATGTGGGTGTAAATACACCAAACTAGTAATAAGTTGTCTCTAATTGGTAGCATTATAGGCAATTTATTTCCTATAAATAAACTGATAGAAAATTTTCTGAATTTTCTATATCATATGCATTTTTTCAAGTAAAAAGGAAGTTATTCTAAGAAATCCCCCAAATCTAGCACAGGACCTACTTTAGAGAGATGACAGTATAGGAAGAGAACGTTCAGGTCACTGATTCCACACAGACCTGGATCTGAATCTCAACTTCACCAGTTGCAAGATGGGCCCCAATTATAACCTCTGTGGGAACAGTACTGACCTTTTCAGGGTTGCTGTGATAGTCAGTCATATTCTATAGCAAAGCACCTCGCCCAAAGCAGGGCTGTCTGTGCTCAACGAACAGAATTTCCTTTGTTCTCCTGGTGCAGGAGGTGGTCTTACTTCAGTTCTGTTTGTCTAACTGCCACAGCACCAACAGTCACCATCACCATTTAATTAAATGTTATCATGTATCACTGGCGATAATCTCATTTATTTGATCTTATCTCCCAAAGACTGACTGTAGGTTTCCTGAGAAGCTGGTCCCATAGCTTAACAATCAGAACCATATGAAACTGAGTAGTGGTGACTAGGAGGGTGCACTCCCTGAACCAGACATGTCCCACTGAAAGCGGGAAGCTGTGACAGGACAACCTCCAGCTGTGAGGTCAGAGGCTGTGGTCCCTCCTATCGCCCCGACACCCAGTGCTGCTCCGCTCACATGGTGGTGAGGTAAGATGTTTTAATTAACAATTACTTGATTTATAAATCCAATTTAAAAATAAATGCATTTTAGAGGAAAGCCCACTCTTAACAGCAAACTTAGCAAATTCAAAGCAGTGTATACAATCACAAGGAAGGCTAGTATTAACACCGGTTGCCTCCCTGGAGTAGAACTATAGGTAAACTTCTTTTTTCCAATTTTAAATAATGAGCACATTTCCCTTTTAAATAGTGAAAGCTATAAAATAATCTTTATCAACAAGAAAAAGCATAAGCTTTGAGCCAGACAGATATGCATTTGAATGGAGGTATTTACTAGGAATGTGCCCTCAGGCAAATTACTTAAGTTTCTAATGCCCATATTCACCATATTTAAATAAAATAACTTTCTCATAGGGTCATCATAAGCAATAAGGTGATGTAGATAAAGTATCTCAGGAACTTGCCTTTCCTTCCCATAGTAATAACACAGTATGGCCAGCACAGTTTGTGGGTGGGTACTTTGGGCAGGGAAGGCCCTGGCATGTCAGTATAGTATTTCCCATTGATCCCATCAGATGCAGCACCTGGAAACTAGTAGCCTCCCTGGAGGTAAGTAAGGGGGTGTAATCAACATTAAGGTACCTCCAAGTCTCTGAATATTAAATTTATAAACTTGACTCATAATAAATGAAATTAAACATTAGCAAGAGTTACTTTAAAATCAGAAAAACAATGCCAGAAACGTTAATACTTTATCGAGTATGAAAGAAAGCTACAGCCTAGTAAATCTTACTAAGATACCTGAAGAAAAACTATGGAAACAAAAAAGCATGGAGTCTAGAAAAGAGATGATTAAGAGCTGCCTGTGAGAGAGACTGTGAGAATGATATGGTGTCCAATTAGCAGATTCAAGGATTCTCATCCCTTTGACCGGGACAGATGCAGTTCTAGAGGTGAAATCAGGCTATCAAACTTGGGCGACACTAGTTAGAAAGATCACCCCACAAAAACTATCCTCCACCCACCACTCCTCTGCTCTGGCTCCACGATCACCTGAAGATCTTCAGATTATCATGTGTTCCCCATACAGATATCGTAAAGGAACAAAATGCACTGAGTGGTCAATTCAAATACTCTATCACCTGGCAGTTATAATTCATACTGTAACTTACATCAATCAGTCTCTAGCACATCTTATCAGTAAGTCAATCTTTTAAAACTTAATCAACTCTAAGCACACTGAAAAACAATGAGCTACCTACAGACTTGCAAAGCTGAGGCCCAAACAATGAACCCTGGGGCCCAAGCCCTTAGCCTGGGAATCAGGTTAGACAGCCCCGCCCTAGTACCAATTCTAACCCAGTTCCATTTCCAGGGGCTTATTTCAGTGGCCACCCAGTACTGACATATCTGATACTTTCATTGTTGCTACTACACATACCAATGGGAGTAAGGAATAGATCTGCTGAAGTGAAAAGGATAGAACTTGAGTAAGCAAAATGAAATCTGAGTATGAGTTCTTCACCCAAAAAAGAAATTGAGTTGTATGTTCAGAAAAACCAGTCAATGTGATGGGGCTGACCAGTCCAACACAGTATCTGTGTACACAGCACTGAGAACAGTTCCATGAAAAGCTTTACTTCCAATTTTCCACACAGTTGTAATGTGACACAAATGTTTGGTTCTCCCAGAAAAAGGGAAAATGCCCTCTTTGGATCAGGGTGTGGCCTAGATTGTGAACTGGATGAGAAAATGGGATTATTGTCACAACCATCTCAGTATTTCAAGTTGGCTTGTGTCCATCTCCTGACAAAAGTACACAACCCTGTCCTGGGCTATGCAGAAGCTTTCACCTCAATCCCCCAAATGCAGAATTTAGCCTCAGTGTCAGGCAGCTTTCTCCCTCATCTGGATTTTTAAGAGGAAGTCACTTGGAGGGAGGATAGTCTTAGTGCCATCCCAGAGATGAAGCACATCTGCCTGGATTCTAATTCAACCCACATTTCTCAAGGCTTGATTAATTCCTCTTCTGAAGCATACCTAGAAACTTAATGTTTCTTAATAACTCAGTATTTACTGAACAAGACCTCCTCTTGTGCATAATACTATACTAGACACCATGAAGAACAAAAAAAGTCATGCACCATTTATATATTCAGTTTTTTCTTAAGCAACCACTATGGTCTAGGAGCTGTGCTTGAGTTCTTGGTATCTCAAGGTAAAAACACAATCTCAGGTCTCAAGAGCAAAAATTGATAAAGAAAAGCAAGTAACCCAAATTTGTAATGCCAAGAAACTTCTTGCCCAGAGGACATCCATGCTGAGTTTTAAAATATAAGTTGAAGTTAGCCAGGAGAAACAAAATAACAGACAAGCATGACGTAAAAGAAATTAGCTGAGACATGCCATACCTAACTGAAATAAGATTACCCCAAATGGAAGACATTTCCAAACTTTTCCAAATGACAATAGAGAAATGAAAGAAGAATAGAGGAAGGGAAGTTTTGTGGCCCTGTTGAACACACAAACTTCTAAGAATTTATTTACACATAAGCATATATTTAAAATTAAGCAGTATATATAATGCATTAATTTAATATTGCTTTTTCCACCTTTACATTTAACATAAACCATGTTACTCAAATCCTTTACATGTATTCTTGATGTTAATGTCCTTTTCAACAATAAAGCTACTTTTTAAGATGATAAAGCTATTTTTTGAATGAGTTTTATAGAAAATATCACATATATTTCTTTTTAAAACTTCTGAGATATAACAGCAGTTTTCTGAATCCATGCTGTCACAAGAAATTTCATCCACAGCCCTAAGAATCCAGCTGTGTAATACTGGATCAGTTATTCATGCATTCGTTTATTCTATTGGTGTTCATGATTTCTAATAATGTGACCACTTGGGTATGTGTTTTATAAATAATGTAATTTTTTTTAAAGTTTTTAAGACTAAGACTTATATACAATTATATTAAACATTTCAAATTAGGAGATTATGTTTCCAAGATTAAGTAAAATGTTCTCAGTTTTTGGTTTCTCATTTTTGTTTAAACAATTATATCAGTTGATATCTATAAAAATTGATGTCAATTGAATTAGTAGATGGTGACAGCAAATTCATTTATCCTTTTTCATGACCTGACTCTAATATCACTGATAGCCCAACAACAAGAAAGATTTTATTAAAGGGCAAATATTAAGATATCCCTGAAGGCTAGTTTCTGGAGGAAAAAAAAATCTTACTTTATATTTCCTAAAGAAGCATGATCAAAACTCATTATGGAAGCATGCTGTAGAACAAAGAAAAAGAAAAGAAGTCCAAATAGAAAGTATTAGGTGTAAACAAAGACTGGAAGTTGAAATAAGCTGAAGCAGCAATAAGAGAGTTATAGAGTTAAGACAGGAATGTTCAAACTGGGAACTAATGCAGGAGAAAAGATCAGACAGATTATGGAGGGGTTGGAATACCAGGCTGAGGAGTTCAGACTGAAGTCTGATGTCTCAAAGAATGAGACTAGATGTAATGAGCAAATAGATACTTGATACTCATGTCCTGAAGTTTCTGGCTGACCTTACCCCACCACAGAAGGCATCAGACTTTGAAAGTTTCATTCAGGAAGCAAGTGAGCACACAGGGCAGTTCATTAGAAATGCCTGGT